AGCGCAGGTGGCCCGTCTGGACTTCGGCGGCATATTCGTCAAAGGTGGTCTGTGTCTTGGTATACTCCTCCAACATGGAAGATAGCGCGTTGAGATCCTCAAGTAGGTCGGGGTCGGTCAGATGACGACCAGACAAGTTGGTCAGGAGGGCGGGGAGTCGAAGGAACACGGCGATGGGTAGCAGAGTGGTCCGGTTGCTGGAGCAAAGATTGTACAAAGTTGCAATAAGCAAGCGGGTAGTCTTTTCTTTCGGTGAGAGACGCAGAAGGTGGATGTAGAGTTGGATAATTTCATAGTTCCTAAGTGGGGTCAGTAGCCGCTCAGAGTATAAAGCGATCGCCTGGTTGTCAGATCACTTACTCTTGAAGTTCATCGCCAACGAGTGCTCCCTCGAATGCAAGCTGCCACAGAACAAGGAGCACCCGATATAGAAGCTGGAGTCCAACACCACCGGCGAGACCAGGCTCGACGCTGCGACTGCTGCTTCCCAGTGTGCTAGCGTTGCCGACGTTGTCTTTAGCCCCTGCCGCAGCTCGAAGAGTGTCGATCAAGGGGGCCAGGGTCTCTTGACGTTGTGCCCAAAAGATCTCTCGAGCTCGGCTAGTTCTCAACAGCTCTGAGAATCCTTGGACACCAATATCCTGGAGCCCACTGTCCTGGTTCTTGGTTAAGGTAGAAAGATAGGTGTAGAGCTGTGGGAGAGCTTCGTTGTCGCGTGGCGCAGGTTTGGATGAAGCAACGAGACTGTGCGATACGAGCGCCGTGAGGAAGGTGGACGTGAGCAGAGGGATGGGGTCTTCGGCGTTTGTCGAATGCTGCAGGAACGGTAGGAAGGGCTTGTACGGTTCTGGGTGAGAAACAAGCGAGTTGGCCAAAGAAGGCACATCTATTAAATATCAGTTCAGCGTATTTCCTCGGAGCTTCAGCTCGGCCAGTAGCATATACCTTGAATCAAGTCCGAGGCCAGCACCAGTATATACTGCACGATATCGGTCCTTCGAGAGGCCGAGTCCAAGACACTCTTTCCCTGTGCGCCACCAGCCAACAGATCTGTGTATGCAGCAAGATCTCCTTCTATCGTTTGGCGGCGTTGATCCTTGCGCACCTTGTCCACCGCCTTGATCTTCTTCAGGTGGTCATCGGTGATGTTGCCCGCTCGGACGGCACCCTCCCATGGAATTGGCCGAGCTCGAATGTTATTCTGGAGGGAACTGAGGTAAGTGGGTGGCTCCAGCGACATTGTGAGTGTAATCTGGAGGAACTTAAAGCCAGAAAAGGAGTGTCGCTGGCTGTGAATGATACAAACTGGGAGGTGTGTCCAGAGAGACGGGGGAGCTTGGGGATGACGGAAGCCTGTGCCAAGACCGACGGTATCTCAACGCATAGCCTCAACTTCTGATTTCTGTTCTCTATTTTGATTCCCGCTTCCTATTTCTCTATCGTCTTTCTTGTTTCTATAGGTCTTCCCTTGCCGATCATTTGCCTCACGTTCACTGTCTTATCGGTCCAGCGTCTTAATCTTTGTTCGGGTTTCAGCCTAGTACCTCGAATTCGGCTCAAATCCTACCAGTCTCTATCGTTTCGCCCTCGCAGCAAGTGCTTGCCATTGCCACCTAAGCATCGACACATCTAGCAATAGTTGTCGTCGAATTGGTTCTGAAACGTCCCCACGATAATCCAAGTCGACGTCCGAGCGCAGCCCCCACCGAATCCATGCGAATGCGACACGAGGCATTTGCCGCTTAGTAGCCTGATCGCAATTTCCAATACAGTAAACTCTGCCACGATGGCGCAAAACTCGCAGACGCAAAAGCCAAAATGGGGGGTGGGTTCTTTTTTCCAGCAGGCAGTAGCGGGCGTCGAGTCTCGGCTGGATCACATCTTGATGGATGAGGAGGGAAACCAATCCAACTCTACTGCAAAGCCTACTGAAACCCAGGGCGGAGAAGCATCACCGACAAAGGCTCCTGTTCCTTGTATGAGATCCACAACACGTACGCGACCTGTAGTACTGGCTAACATCTTTCAGCGGTTTCCCGCAGTTCATCGACCGCGCGAAGAAATGACCGGCTTCAGGAACGTCTAGCCCGAGCTATGGTGAAGCAAAATACCTCAAGTCTATCTTCCAAGTCTCCTCAGAGCCGAGTCTCATCACCGCCTGCTAGTCCAGTACCTAGCAATGGGGCTCGGTCGAGTATGGACTTTGATTCCAGCGTTGCATCGGTCAATAATGCGGTGGAAGACCCCAAGGCTTCTCAATCGAATGACGACAGCAATCCAGCTAAGTTGGCCTCACCGAGAATAAGCTACGACTCCGGGGTATCACCGCGTGTTTCGACGGAGATCAGTGTCACAGACTCCGCGCCCAGGACATCCGTAGACGTGGTTCAACCGTCAGTCGACTCAGCCAAAGCTAGTCAAGAAATGTCAGATTCGCAGCGCGATTCGGTACTGAATGATCTTGCTTCGGGTGATAGTCCGCGGGTTAGCGTTGAATCGCCATCAGAAGTACCAGAGGAGGGCGAAAACCCAGATATCGCTCGCTTGCGGGCTGAGCGTAAAACTGCCGAGTCTCAATGGCAAGAAGAGATGCATGGTTATATTGAACGTATTGATGCGTTGCAGTCGAAATTGAAATACCTCGCTAAGGATGCTGCGGAATCGGCTAAAAATGCTGCGGCGAGTGCTACCCCAGGGAGTACGCAAAAGCAACTCCTAGAGAAAGATGAGAAGATCGCATTGCTCCTTGAAGAAGGGCAGAAGCTGTCCAAGTCGGAGATGGACCACCGCACGGTGATCAAGAAATTGCGTCAGCAACTTACCGAAAACACCAAATCTCAGGCTGAAATGAAGAGAAAGACAGACAAGCTTGAGCGAGACTTGGCCAACTCCGAAGCAAGAGCCAAGCGGGCAGAGGCCGCAGAGAAGAGGGCAATCGAGTCTCTGTCATCCCAAACAAAGTCGACTAAAGACTTGGAAGCTGTTACGAATGAACGCAATGCGCTCAGCCAGACTGTCCAAGAGATAAAATCGCAATTGAGTCGGGCTGTTTCCCGCGCCGAAGCCGCCGAGACAAAGGCGAACTCTGACGCTCTAGAGCTAGAGAAGCAACGGGCGAGGGAGCTAGACGAGGAGCTATGCAACCTGAAGATTGAGCACGACATTAGTGAAGAAAGATCCAAGAGGGAAATTACCGAGTTGAAGGAGAAGATTGACCAAGAGAAAGAAAGAGCCCGAATGCTCGAGGCTGAATTGAAAGGCGAACAGTCTGTCTTGGAAAGCAAGATGGAGAGTCTTCGCTCCCGCGCAGAGGAAGCTTCATCGGGGGCAACAGGAGAGACCCAGGCCAAACTTTTGCGTCAGATCGAGACCCTGCAAACTCAATATGCTGCTGCTAGTGAAAACTGGCACACACTAGAGGGCTCTTTGCTCTCACGCCTGGCTAGTGTGGAGAAAGAACGCGATGATGCTGGTCGACGGGAGATCGACCTTCGGAAGAAGATTCGAGAGATGGTAAGATCTCAAACTCCGTGCCTCAGTGTACCCCAAGATTAACCAACGGGAATGTAGAACCACAAGTTAAAGAAGTTCGAAGAGGAACTAGATAACGCCAAAGAAGCCGAGCACGATTTGAACAGCAGGCTAGAGGAACGCATGGAAGAGCTGCAGAAGCTGCAACAAAAACTCGAGAAAGCGGCAGAGGACCTTGCCTCAACGCAAAAGGACATGGCCGAGCAGAAGAAAACATGCGACACAATGTGGGCGCAGAAGCTCGAGGAGGAGCGGGCCAAGTGGAGAGAGCAGGTGAACTCCCCGTCGCAACTGCGCGGAGTATCACCCGTTGCATCTCTACGGCGATCGAGTACCCTCGACGCCATGACCCCAGGGCAGCCGGAGTGCCGCCCTCCTAGCCGGCGCTCATCTACTATGGCTTTCACCTCACCAGAAATTGGCACGCCGCCTCGGCAAAACTCTTACCCTGCCTCAATCACCCAAGCTACGCTTTCTCCGCCACACATCAACACGAATCCCTCACTCATGGCAGCGCCCTCCATCACCTTTGAGCCGGACGAGTATTTCGAAGATTCCGGTACTCCTGCCACCCCTTCAGCCTACGGCGGCACCCAAGCACATCCACCGCGCGGTATCAACGACATAATATCCGAGTCAACTGTCGGCGCCGGCCCTTCTGTGCAGCTGGTCGAGCGTATGAGTGCCACAGTCCGCCGCCTTGAGAGTGAGCGCGCCGGATCTAAGGACGAGCTTGCCCGCGTGACGACCCAGCGCGACGAAGCCCGGCAACAAGTTGTTGATCTTATGCGTGAGCTCGAAGAGAAGCAGCTTTCGGATTCCCGTGTGCAGGAACTCGAAGCTGAACTCGAAGACCTTGATCAGCGCTACCAGACCACTCTTGAGATGCTGGGCGAGAAGAGCGAGCAGGTTGACGAACTCAACGCTGATATCGCTGATCTGAAGAAGATCTACCGCGAGCTAGTTGACAGTACTATGAAATGAGGGCAAACTGTTTAGATGTCTACCTACCATTTAGTGGGCCGCCAGCTGGACGCTTCTTGGCTACGATCTTTCATGCTTAGACTTAGACCACTCGGGTTTGTAAATAGAATATATCCTGCCCTGTACAAATTAATTGGTCTCATACAACGAATTTACTCCTACATCACAACCCGCCTTCGATTCTAGGCGAAGCAGTCATACTTGCAGGGTCACTTCGATCTCGGAAAATGAGACTTCCCCTCCATCCTTATGCACATTCGGATTCTAGCTCTAACAAACCTTCCATTGACAGTATTCAAGCAATTATCATTGACCAGCAGTCTTCGAAGTTTCACCTCTCCTATACTAACCATAGCCATTTAGACTTACAGGCAGGATTGGAGCTCGCGGTAATTTCCAAGGAACACTCATATGGATGGCCCGAAACATGGCTTCATGACAACTTCAGACATCAGCCTGTGAGCGCCTTGCTGCATGGCGTTGCACTATCTTAAAGTTGTTATAGCTATGGACATGCATATATCAAGAAGATAAGGAATGCACCGAGTTGCCCGTGCCCGGCGTAAACTGCACCAGCTGCTGAGAACCTTCAGCTTGCCTCCTATCCCAACTCGCAAGAAGAACATTAAGCAGCTCGTTGGCGACATTTTCTCTTCGGGGCCAAAGTTATTGCGATGGATAGTCTGTTCCAGCGAGACAATCAAATATATACAGAATGAACAGTACGCGACCTTGTTCAATGTGAAGTTGAGCAGCGCCTGGCCATGCAGCCTCTCGGGTGGCTCACGACGATCCTGGTAAACAGGATGGTTAACCTGCACAAGCCAATTCACCCAACCTCTCTTCTGACCCTCAGTCCTGTTTCCAGCGTCGGGATGCCGTCTCCGGTACACAACATACCCACACCGACGCGGCAACATACACGTGAAAGTAGGAACATAACCAGCCACAATCGCACCGAACGTCCCGAGGATGATATACCGGAATACAGGAGAAGTGGCTTTGATGCTAACGCCAAAGACCATATACGCCGTATTCTTGTTGCACTGGGGCTGGCTGCCAAATTGCGGCGCCGTCACCCAAACATAGACGTTCAAAGCGAGGAAAGCCGCCAAAGCCAGGACCTGGATTGCGGAGAAGAAATACAGTCGCCATGGGCCGAGTCCTGAATACCGGCCTTTTCTCACCATGTCCATGCCGAGTATGGCGAGAAGGTGCACGACACATATCGCGTGGAAGAGTGTCAGCTCGCCCTGAACTGTCTGGTAAATTGCTGTGCAGAGGAGGGCTAGGCCTTGAAAGCCCAGAGCGGAGGAGACACCTCGCGAGAACTCCTCTTGATCTTCTCCTGAGGCAAATACGCTGAGTAGATTATTGACCATCGACCCGCCCAGGCAGAAGGCGTAGATCGATATACGAATTTGTGGACGATGATTTAACTGCGGGCTTCTTTTGTTCAAGGTAGGGAGCTAAATGGCGACAGGATGATAATGATGGCACATGAGATGGGACTTACCCCGACCCCAGATACATCGGGGTTAGCCTCGATGGTACGGACTGTCGAGTTCATTTTGTGTGGCACAATGATTGCTCTAACAACTTCCCAAGTGATATGCTACAACGATCTGAGTTGGAGTCTTGAGACGCCCTATATCTTAGTCTCGGTTCAAGTGTCCATTATCGCTTTTACACTCCCCGGGGAGTCTCTCTCAGTTGGCATGGCGAAGAGACGAAGAAGAAAACGAGAAAAAGCATGTGCCCGGGCACATGGCTAAGCAGTAGCATTGTGCCAAGAAACCCTCGCACCAGTCCAAAACACCATTCTTCAAAATTGAACAACACGGAAAGACAGCGCCTGAGTCTGCCAAGGTTGTATCTATCGCACTGGGATTGGGTCACCCTCAGGATGCCCCAGGTGGCTCCCGAGGGATGCTCACTGCAGGGGCCGCTAAGGCCAAATTAGGGCTCATTAGGGAACGTCAGAAACTTTGTCTCGGCAAATGATTCCCTTGATTGGTCATGCCGGGAACTACTTCGTGATCGATTTATCTGTTTCATTGAGGAACGGGACCTGGAGCTCTTTCAGTCTCTTATAACATCCATGGATCACCCATACGGCGAAGGCCTGGGGGTTTTGCCTATACATACGTATACCAAGTATTGGCTAAGGACTTGGACTTTCTTATAAGACACCCGCTCTCATCAGCATATATTTTGGCTTTGTGTATCGTTACTGCTGCTATTGCAATACACGAATCGAACTGGTTGTTGCTAACATACCTCACCATGGATATGGATAATACCAATCGTCCTGCTATCAACAGTATGTCCCAGTTTTTCCTTCCCATAAACTCAAAGCAGATCTGGATTACTTCCTCCTTACAACCTCATCATGCTTCAACACAATACTTACTATGCCCTTTACTTTAGTATGGATGTTCTTCGCCCTGGCTGCGCTGGACCTCGCAGCAAACGCCGCCGCCGGTCCAGCTGCAGTGGCAACTGCCGCACATGTCAACGGGAGTCCAATGACAGCGAGAGCAATGCAAATCGGTGCGCTCGCTGGAGTCACTAAATCAGGGGTGTTAATATTCGTTGAATTCGCGGCGTACGCCGGTTTGCCAACAGCAGGGCGTGGATACTGTTAGCTTTGGTGGCAAGTAGCTTTGGAACTTGTCTCCTGGTAACGGTGGAGGTTAGCAATTTGGTTCTCGGGGAAAGTGAGTGCAGCCCTATCTTCTGAAATATTGCTCGGCTAGAACTTGAGCTGGTGGTTATGGTCTGTTTGGTTATTGTTTCTAACAGTATATACTTTATAGCACCAAGCGCTTTGCTTGTTGCGGCTCTTGTCGCTGCTATTCCCCTTTCAGGAGAATGTATTGGGATATATCAGTGTAAGTGCTTTTACTCCGCTTGCAGCCCTCCATTGCTAACGTTTATTTGTGTTTCAGCCGCTGGGGGGGGCTATATGGTGGGCAAGCTCAATCACAACTTGTTGTTTTGGGGCTCGATGCCTTAGGGGGATATGTGTTTGCTCGTATGGCACATAACAGAGGTCATTTGTTGTCTCTTTTATACATGAAAGCTTTGGGAGCACTCTCTTCGCTGCTCCTGTTGCACTTCTTGATGACTAATGCCTGAAATGTGAAACCGCAGGCTACGATATCTGCCCTTACAATGTTGCTGCTGCCGCTGGGGCTGTATACGGCGTCATTCCCGGTTTCTTTCATACTATCCTTGGGTGTATCGCCTGGCTTACCACCTATGAAAGCATAAATGGACATTTTGTAATAACGAATGTCTTTGGGACTAGGCGAGGGTATAATCCCAATTATCGAATGGGTAGTTATTACTCTCATGCCAGCGCATGGATTTAGTGGGAGAATATCTATAGGTATCATGGAAGGGACTCTCGTCTTGTCTGGAATACTAATACTCTTGGGGTTTGTAATACTTTTTCGGGGTAAATCGTGATAGTGCCAACAGCCTGCATGATTGGTCTGACACTCAAGTCCCTCTGACTATCCATCATACTGGGAGTATCGTCGTATCGTCCATCACGATCGACCTAATCATGTAGAATCCTCGAGGAACGGGTATACATATCAGTAGTAGGTGCCAATTGAGTTAGCCCTCGACACATTCATATGCCCCGTGAAAAGGATTTCAGGTGACTAGGATCGCATCGTCTTTGTCGTGGGTCCAGCTGCATGCGGCATAACCCTGTCGAATCACCTACGGAGTACTATCCTGAGGCTGGAAAATGGTAAATCTGCGAGGCATGTCTTTGGGTCAGGGAACAAAGAGACGGAGAAAGAAGGATTTGAAACGGAAGCGCTGAGGTGGTGATCCCTGGCCCTATGCTCACCGCCATTTCTATAGAAGACTGTCCGGGATGCCAGATATCGCACCAAATTATGTCGCATAAGCCCAGAATACATGTTCTATTCTGTCCAGGAAATTCCAAAGAGCAAGGGCCTTTGAAACAGTGCAAATGCAGCATCGAGATATCTAGCCGCCCGATGGATCTGGACACTCTCAACTGCTTCTAATGACAGAACAGCAGTGGCTGGGATTTAAACAAAGCCAGAAAATCACTGATCGCCCAACAGGCACGAGCTCTGTTTTTGACCTATGGAACAAATTCAAGGGTGAGATATGATTTAGACTGCGGGAAAGGGGTGGATCAAACGGTGGTGCATAAGCCACCTCTTCTTTGTTGACGTGCAGGGGGACTGAGACAGCTACTTCTACATATTGACTGCTCCGTACGGAGTGGTCTTGAATTGGAAGGTTGGGCACATGTTTCGGATCAAGTTACCCAGAATATCCCCAATTTAGTCTGAAATATTAAATATGAAAAGCAACATGCCATGTGCTACGTAACACTGTCTCGGGGTGTTAAGCTCTCAAGTCAGTGGACCCTTATGGAGCCGCATTTTAGAATCATTAATTTCATACAATAGGTCAAGCCACCTTGCAAGGGTATTTATATCACAGTCGCTGGGATAGTAACACCCAGTCTATTTTCATACGTGGTACCCCGTCAGACCAGTGAAACAATGGACTCCACGGGGCGTAACACAGCGCATAAACGCCCTGAGTAAAACAACTAATGGAGTTGATAAGGGGTTGAAGACACGAATTGGTAATTTTAATATTTGTACCTAGTGTTAAATAAGGATAGTGTGGTAATTAGTGCCGAGCCTTTTCTTGACCACACAGGAGATTGAGAAAAAGTATGTCTACATATGTATATTGTATACTCCGTACATGACATCGATATACAACATAGAGTTGAATCCTTGAGTTCTGGGCTGGAGTAACGAACAAATGGTTGTCCAATCAGACCCAGCCGCGAAAATAATCCATATGAATTGCAGTAAGTGATCCATTTTAGGTGGGGTCTTCAGCGCTGAATGACTCGGGATTCAGCTCTGTAATGTCATGTCTATGGCCTGGACTCCGTACGGAGTCCAAAATACAACCACATTGGCCAACTTCCTGATGTGATACAATGCAGGAACAGTTCTTTAGCACCCGGCGCTTAGCCCGTTGAAGCAACACATGCCGGCACCACGCGCTGGCCCGAGTGTCTGGCGAGACGCTGTGTCGATCGACGTCCCATTTTGATTGGACACTTTGATTGGACACGGCACAGTGATTAGCGTGTAGTATTGGCTTGAGCACGTTCTTCTGTCAGGAAATAACCTTGGTCTTTTCACAAAATTGAGAAGCTTGGACTATATGTTGTAGAGGGACCCGAAGGGGAAAAGGGGCAATATCTCCACTGTGAAGTTTTTCTTTCGATGGCCCCCTTAATATATTGCAGATTGTTATTTAGTTCAAGTTTCTGTTGAAGGTAATATACAAAGTTTATATGGATATATTATTATATTATTATATTATTGTATAGAGTATAATACGGAGTATGTAGAATATGTCTGTTGTAGATATACTCCGTATGATCATGGCAATATTGAATGTAAATGCAAAAGGTAGACATAAAGTACATTCAAGTATTTTTCACCTGTGGAAAGATAAGGAAGTCACAAAAAAGTACGTGCATGGTACCGGTTAGTACAGCCTTGAAAGGCGGCTACCCCTGAATTGCCAAGCATTAGCCCGGGCCAACCTCTCCTCCACGACTCAAGGGGTTCTTTGTGTCACTTCACACTATTGAATGTTCTATTTTCATCTTTGAGCCCTGTCACCGTACTCCGTATACTCCAAATCCTCCGTATATCGACAAGTATAGAGCATTTTACCGAGTACTCCGTACTATCAACAACCATCACACTTGATAGTAGGTTCAGGCGATGTCGATCCTACCGGCCAGAGCACCATTGCACAATATATCTGTACCAATTGAATCGATGCAAGTCCAGACCCACGTCAGCCCCCCCCTGCGCTCCACCCACGCTTACTCGTCCCGAGCGCTACTGAAATGGAGAACCCACGGGCGGTTTACGCCAATCGCCCCGGGTTGTCGTGTACCAAGACTTTCTCCTTTTCTCCCATTTCCCTTCTCGTCTGATATTCTCCTGAGAATAATCCTTACCCTTTTGGTCGTTTCATTGGCGCGTGCCGTTCTCTTTCCCGTGCTAATCGACATGAACGACCGTCGATCTATGGCTATTTTTTGATACGGACCAGGGTGTTTCATGGCGTCTCCTCTTGGGTTCGGCGGCTCTCCCGCCCATTCAGAGAGCTTCTCTAGTCCCAATCCCATTCCAATTACTCCCCCAGTCCGAAGGAAACCTCTTCCGCATAATGGTGATCCAGTGACTTCGGGCCCTGACCACCCCTCCTCTCCCATTTCGCTCGAGGGAGATAAACCCACTTCAATTCCCACTGCACCCGTGTCCAGACCACTATCCCCTTTGTCGGTGGATGGGGACTCAAATATATCAGTACAAAAGAACCCGAACAGGTACGCGACCAGCAATGACCCCGGTTTTCCTCTCCCCGGTCTTTGTGCAGACCCTCCTTTTTCTCCCCGGCTACCTACCGATCAAGCATGATATGGCCTATACATGCTATTCCGCTTCTACAGAGTTTGGAAGACTAATCGCGTGCCTCTGTCCCACCTCCCCAGATATTCCCGAGGACGGCACCCTATCCAACCCCTACACATAGATACCGCCGCCTCCCGCCACGGCTCCGCTTCGTACTTGAGATCCGTTCTTGAGGACGACGACGACGACGAAGACGAGGGTCCTGATTACTTTGACGAAGAATACGAACACCAGTTCACGAATGGAACCCCCCCTACACAGTCGTCTAGATAGCGAACCGTTCATCCCGGTCCTCAAATCCCCTCCTCCAACGAAACGATCGTCACGACGGGCAACGAGTATGGCATTACATCCGCCTATGAACAGACCACCTCCGTTACATATTGACGTAGACCCGCGTTCGGTGTCAATGTCAATGGGTGCCGGAGATCCAAGACACCCAAAAACCCCTGGAAACAAGATCAGCTCCTTCTTCGGCTGGAAGGCAGCGAATAATAATACAGTTACATCCCCTGGAGGCGAATCATCGAGCACCGAGATCTCGGACTCGGGTCGATCAGCCATGCCTTCCCCCATGCCACCATTAGCAAACGTCCCTTTCAAACCCGGCTCTCCATACGATCCGAAGACCAATGGATATGGGGCGCGGACCCCTTCCCTGGGGGCTTCGAGTTTAAAGGAAAGTATATTTACGTCGAAGCTGGCAGAGATTGAGAATGAATTACGAGAGATAAGCTCCGAATTGGCGGGATCTATCCGCCGAGAAATGGAACTGGAGGATCTAGTCGAACGGCTACAATTAGAAGGTCCGGACGTCAATCGACGCACCAGTGACTATTTCTCAGACTCGGGTACTAGTTCTGTTCGCTATGCCTCAGATCCTGGGAAGAACGAAGATATCGAAAAGATTCGCCGCGCTGCAGAGCAAGAACGCGCACAGCTCAAGGTCGAATTATCGCAGAAGTTACAGGAGGAGCGGTCTCAGCGGTTGGCATCAGAGTCGCATGTTCAAATCTTGGAATCCCAAGTTCAACAGGTACGGCCGGTAAATTACGCGCAACATGCGAATGCTGCTAACCTTCATCTAGCTTCGACGCGAGAGAACGGATCTGTCTGATTTATCGTCAAAAAACAAGGAACTCGAAACCGCACTGGAAAATACCAAACGAAAGCTGCTTGAAGAGCGGCAATCCAAAGATAACTTCGAGGACCTACTTACTGCCATGCGAGTAGAGTTGGAACAATTGCGTAATGATCGAGATCAACTTCGAGACAACAGTCTCGTGGAGGAAATTGAAGCTTTAAAAATCGAAAATGCCTCTTTAGCTCAGCTGCAGGGTGGTCGATTCGCTTCGATCGCCGAGGAAGGTGGCTCACCCAGAAATTCGGCATTTGGGGTATCACGATCGAGCTCCATTGCACGCAAGCCCAGCGGCTTAGCTCGCTCAGGCTCACTCTCTCGGTCTAACTCGGTCAATAATAATAACAGCGGTGGTAAATCACCAGAAACACGTGAATCATTGGTTGATAAGGTTCATGATATCGAGGTTCAACGCGATGCCCTCCACCGGACATTGCGGAGCCTCCTCGATCGCCAGGCATACCAAGCCCGCGAATACGAGAAGCGTACTCGTATCCTGGAAATGGAGCTTGCTCAAGCCCAGCAATCCGGTCAGCCACGGAAATTGGGCTACGAGAGAGATGTGCGGAACCTGCGTGACGAGGTGAATCATCTCCGCATGCGCGCTGAGGATGCCCTGAGATGGCAAGTGGCAATGCGAGAAGAACCTCGCTGGTCTCAAGATGGACTTGGACCGTGCCGAGCAGGAGACCAGCTCCCTACGTGCGCTTCTTCTGGAGGACACTGCTGCCGGTGCAGAGTTGACGACCGGCCAAGAAGGCTTTGCCGAGGTCGTGACCACATCCTCTTCCCTGCAATCCGCATTCCAGCAATTGCAGGCTGATCGAGCTGAGGCTGAGGCGGGTGTTGCAGATTCGGAAGAGCTCGCTTCCTCCCTTGCCCGGACTGAGGCACTGGGCAGCAAGGTCGATTACCAGCTTCAGAACAACGCCTCTTTGCATGCCCGTTTAGCAGCGGCCATTGATAAGGGTGACAAAGATCAGCAAATCTCGGTTGAACGGATCAATGTTCTGCAGAACCGCATGAGGGAGCTGGAGGAAGTTCTTTTGGTTGCGCAAAACCACTCCGAAGAAGAGATGGGCAAGCACGAGGAAGAAATTCGTTTGCTGAAGGAAAGCCAGCATGCCCAGCTCACTCGGATGATGAATGGCGGACGCAGCACAGTCGGCCTCTCCCCGCGGCCGCCAAACGCACCATTCGATTCTCGCTCGCCGCGTCTAGACCAGACCACGAGCGGCCAAGGTGTACCCTTGACCGAGGTTGTCCAGGCCGAAATCCTCGAGCGACGAGTGAAAGATCTCGAGAAACTCCTCCGTGATGCGGATATGGAGATGGAGCAAGTGGTTGGACGGATGAACCGTACGCAGATCGATGTGGCTCAGCTTCAAACTGACAGGTATGTAATTCGTGTTTCATCTCATATTCCCTCTTTTCATCCCATCCCTTACTAATTCCTCCCGCAGAGACGACGCTCTCCGCCAGACCCGCCAACTCCAGACCGAGATCCAAGCCGAGCGTGACGCCCTCAGAGGGCTCATTAACGCCCTGTAAATTTGACAAATCTCGAGCTTTGTCCTTTGCTACTGTCTTACTATACCACGTCTGCATTTGCATTTGTGCTCCCGTCGCCCACGATGGTAGAGTACAATATCTTGGAGTTAGCCCGGAGTCCCGGGTTTTTGTTTTGGGTTCTTCTATGAAGATCATGCGTGTGGCATCGCGCTGACCTCTTCCCTGACTTGGGCTTGGGGCGTTTTTTTCTTTCACACTCACGAGACTGGTGGTTGGCTACTGTTGGTCGCGCTTGTATATAAAAACCGTCTCTATTAGGGTAAATATCTAATCTACTGTACAGTATCATTTGTGGTCAATCTGATCTTCATATGAAATATATCGAGAATTTCCTGAGAGTGATGTACAAGTGAGACTAATATCTACATATAAGTAGAGCATCTCTTCACATGCGATGTTTGTTTAGTTTGCATCCTCTTATCATCCGGGTGCCACGCCGCAACTTCGAAACAGCTTGGATGTCACATTGGCTTCTTAACCTATCATTGATCGCATGGGAATATATACCTTCAGAAAAAACCTCTCCTAGTCTCCGCTCAAGCTGACCTCTAACATATCTCACCAAACCCCTCCTCGGCCTGGTCGCTTTGCTCGACTACAAACAAGCTAAGCTCCAGCACGAGATCAAACAAAGCGCTCTCGAGTCAAAGAAGCAACGCCTTTGAACACTGAGAAGCCCGGGTATTCTTTCCCTTCCTCGTACCGGCTGTCCCCTAGAACATATCCATTCTCAAGGGCCACAAAGAGTCAAAGATCTTAAACAAAGCGCCAGCGAGCCAAGGAAAATCACGGACCTGACACGCGAGGGACCTCTCTCTATCACCTGTCTCTCCCTTGTCGACCACTTCAAAATACAACGGCCATGGAGTTCCTACCAGGTATCTACCTCACTACCCTCCAAATACAAACACCGCAACGCAAAGTCCCACAAGCTAACCAACCATCCCACGGACACAGAAAACCTTCAAACAGTCCTCCAAAATCCCACATTCACCTACCTCCAATCAGCGACACAAGACCACCTCACAACAAAACTCTCGCACCTGCGCGCAATGGTGCTCCAACCATACATAATCGAGCCTGTCTCGAGTTTCCTCGCCTCCTACTCCTCCGCCATGCCAGACCTACTCTCAATATTCCTTCTCGCCATTATAATCCTCGTCTCCCTCAAGATTCTAGACTACGCCTACCGCGTGGTCGTATTCTGGGTCACGCTCGCTTTCAAACTTGTCTTCTGGGGCTCGATTCTCGGTCTCGGGTGGTATGTCTACAGCGTTGGTATTGAGAATGCCGGCAGGGATTTCGGGTGGCTTTGGGGTGTGGTATATGGATTTGTCGGCGATTTTCAGGAAAAGAGCAAGACCGCTGCAGCGGCTTATGCTGGGAACCCCAAGTAGGGTGGTTTGGTTTGGTTTAAAATTGGATGAAATTGTGTGATGGAGATTGAGTCAAAATACTCGGCTTGTTAATGTCTTTCTTCGCGACTGGTATGCCTGTCTGGGGGTATATGATGAAAATGCGCAATGTGTCTGTCTATTTCTTTTTTTCATCCTGCTGAATTGGCCTAGCGATTGATGACTTCATGTTGTTTTTGGAGTTCTAGACATAACAATATTCATGAATTGATTTTGGTTTCATTATGGTTTCATTATAAGTTCTATTAACTGAGGACATGACCGAATATCCATTTGCAGTGTAGAAAGCTCCCGACTCAGACTCTTGTAGCATCAGCTATGGTTGTGTCGCAAGTACAATTGATCCCAGACGCCAAATGATGTGTAGTCCGGCGCGATAAGAATATTAGAAAATTTTTCCAATATCCTAAGGTAGGTCTATCGGCCGTACAATAGCAACGTGAGATGAAAACTGGGCTTTGTCTCAGATTTCTCCGCTGCCAGAAACTCGAGGCTGCTGCATGGGGTGGCATTGGGTGAAGTGGTTGGTCGTGAGGATCTTGAATGTGCAGGAATCTGACTGCAAGTCACAGCACTGCAGTAATCACGTGAAATATTCCTCAATCCTCGTAGTTCACCTCAACTTCATCCTTTGGTTCTCTTGGTTCCTGGGCCTCATGGTACTGGATGGCATCATCGATGTGGCTCACAATCCCCGCACGCTGTCCTCATCCGAGACATCCAATTGCAGGAACGAAACCATACTGAAATCGTCGATCAACTGTCCGACGGCCCGGTTGAGCTGCTTGAAAGATCCGCCGCTCATCAAGGAGTCCGCGGCCATGGGGTTGGCACCTGCGGTGAGATCGTCCTCTTCCTTCTCTTGCAGCAATTGCACATCCACGTTGGTAAACCGTTTCAATTCCCGGCGTGTCACCATATCACGGACTTGGTCCATCTTGCTGAGAATGTTGACGTGTGGCATCTCCATCATCAGCATGGCGGACATGGCACTGAGTGTACCGGCGAAGAATTTGGCTTTGTCGATGACGAAGGTGCTTTCGAGTAGATAGGCGGCGCACATGTTGATATTCAACGGACCTTGTCGGGAGAGGAATGTTGTGAGGGTTGGTAAAAGAGGAATATGTGTGTAGAGCTCGATTTGTCCGGGCATATCGAAGATAATCAGATACTCTTCACTCAATGGCTCCAGCGCCTCCGATAAGAATTCCAGGTTCTGGAGTAGGAACTCAAAACAGTAGATGAGACCTCCATTTGGCCCCAGGCCCATCTCTTCCATTACATCTTCCAACGTGATCAGGTCACGAATGTCGAGATCTGGTTCGTAGGCGAATGTCTCGGCGGCGGGGTCGAGGTTCACGTAGAAACAGCTTCGACGGGTGGTTTGAAGATGCTGGATTACCGCATTGCTGAAGGTGGTCTTGCCTGCACCTGCAGGGCCCATTACCAGGACACCGAACTTAGACATGGTTGGTATATCTAGGTATCGAATAACAAGTACAAAAAGAGCTTGGAAGTTCTATCTTATCGTAACAAGAAAATTCCAAGGCCTGTTAATCTGCCCGAATTCACCGCCCCTGGATGGCGCGATCTCGGGCGGACAAGGGACAGAAAGTACCGCGTACGGAGTACAATGAGGGTACATCGGTAGTACCTGCATGTGGCCCACTCACACTATCTTTTCTCTGGTACCGCAAAAGTAACTCGGAAAAAAAAGCAAAACCCCACCAAATTTCCCCTCCCCGAGAGATCTTCCTCCCTTTCCTTCTCTCTCCATTCCTCTTTCCCTCCCCTTTTGTCAATTCCTTTTTCTTCACACACAGTCACAATGGGTTCTGTTTCAAACAGCGGCACTTTCCTTTTCACCTCCGAGTCTGTCGGTGAGGGTCACCCCGACAAGATTGCGTGAGTTATATCCCCTGAAAACCTCTCATCTTCGCTCTCGGAGTGTTACATGAGGTTTACATTGATTCCAATTGTCAATGTATTAATTCCCCAATAGTGACCAGGTTTCCGATGCCATCCTCGATGCCTGCCTTGCTGAGGATCCCCTCTCCAAGGTCGCTTGCGAGACTGCCACCAAGACCGGTAAGCTGACCAGGATTACTTGAGGCCAGATCACAGTCTGACATGTTACATTAGGTATGATTATGGTCTTCGGTGAGATTACCACCAAGGCCCACCTGGACTACCAGAAGATCATCCGTGGCGCTATCAAGGACATCGGTTACGATGCCTCTGAGAAGGGCTTCGACTACAAGACTTGCAACGTCTTGGTTGCCATCGAGCAGCAGTCCCCCGATATCGCTCAGGGTCTTCACTACGAGGAGGCTCTTGAGAAGCTCGGTGCCGGTGACCAGGGTATCATGTTTGGCTATGCTACCGATGAGACCCCTGAGCTCCTGCCCTTGACTGTCCTCTTCTCTCACAAGCTTAACGCTGCCATGAAGGCCGCCCGTCAGGATGGCTCCATCCCCTGGTTGCTCCCCGATACCAAGACCCAGGTCACCATTGAGTACGCCCACGACAACGGTGCCGTCAAGCCTCTGCGCGTTGACACCGTCGTCGTCTCCGCCCAGCACACTGATGATGTCTCCACTGAGGAGCTCCGTGCTGTCATTAAGGAGAAGATCGTCCGCAAGGTCATCCCCGCCGAGCTCCTCGATGACCGCACTGTCTACCACATCCAGCCCTCTGGCCGCTTCGTCATCGGTGGTCCTCAGGGTGATGCTGGTCTCACTGGCCGTAAGATCATCGTCGACACCTACGGTGGCTGGGGTGCCCACGGTGGTGGTGCTTTCTCCGGAAAGGATTACTCCAAGGTCGATCGTTCCGCCGCCTACGTTGCGCGCTGGATCGCCAAGTCTCTGGTCAACGCCAAGCTTGCCCGCCGTGCCCTCGTCCAGCTCTCCTACGCCATTGGTGTCGCTGAGCCCCTCTCCATCTTCGTTGAGAGCTACGGTACTTCCTCCAAGACCTCCGACGAGCTGGTCCAGATCATCCGCAACAACTTCGATCTCCGTCCCGGTGTCATCGTGAAGGACCTTGACCTGGCCAAGCCCATCTACTACCAGACCGCCAAGAACGGTCACTTCACCAACCAGGAGTTCTCCTGGGAGTCCCCTCGTACCCTCAAGTTCTGAGCGGGCTCTGCTTGATCCGGTGACTCCGGACAATTTTTGACGACTGTGATGATTTGCTTTGTTTTCAACAACTCAAAGCACGATGAGCATAGACTATAAAAAGAAAACCCTCATAAAATCCCGAAGTTGGTTTCCACCCGGAGACCAACATCTCTTGTTTCATTATCTGCATGGTCGCGCAAATGACGGGCCTTTTCGGCGAAGACAAAATTCAACATGATACCACTTTTCATCGGCTGGGAAAGGAAGTTTTTGGCGTTTTTTCTGGAGCGATAGTCTTCAACACCATATCTCTACCTCACTGTCCATGGTACCTGCCGGGAGATTTTGATCCTGCTTCCACGCTGGATCATACTCCATCGGTTTCGAGGGAAACTTCACGGCACTCTCTGGGAGAGTGTGTGAAGGTTCTTTTCGTCTTGGTCCTGGGCCTGCTAATCTAAACATTGGCGATAGATTCATAATATTCTTCATATCTTCTTTGGACATATAATTTTTTGGTAGTACACCACTAGTTTACGTCGAGGTACTTCGTAACGTAACTCAATCTAAGAAGACAATTTCAATATCTAGACAAAAGTCTTCATAAAAAAACACTCTCCATTTCATTCAAATCAATTAACGTGTCTTACATTGGTCCAGGCGGAGTGCACGTCCCGACGCGTGACGACAGACCCGCCAAGAGTCGAGCGCGATCTTGTCGACATCTGCACAACGTCAATTGCTTTGTTAGTTTAGCATAGGACTTGACTCTTTCAAATTACAGGATGCCCACGATTTCCTAGACGCGACCATGGCCTCGCGTATAGTCCCCAACATCCTGGATCCGCTCAGTTCATCCGCGCTGAACAAACTCCACGAACCGACCCCTCCACCCATAAAGAAGCGGAAAAGAGGCGACCAAGAGGAGCTAAACGATACTGCTGGACAGCTTGCTACCTCTTCCATCATCATAAGAGTGAGTCCTGCTTATAATCAGCCTAGTATACGCTCAATCCATTGGTTGCTGTTGCTCACGCTCCGTAACTTGTATAGGCTCACTCAGCGTCTTTATCTGATGAACCTTTGATCCTCGAACCAATTACCACCCTCCCCCGTACAAGGCTGCCCTTCTCGTGGCTCGACGACACGCCCGCCTCCCGATCTGACGAGCAACCAGGCGGCCTTTTCACCGCGGACATCCCCACGCTGGAAATTGACCTGCGCGCAAAAACGGAACCAACTGTCCTCGCTGTGCGTCTCGTACCCAACTGCGGGCTCTACATTATCGAGAGGGTGAAGAGGGGCTTATACTCGCTCTCCAAGCTTGCCCGATGGATACACGAGGGCAATCTCGTTGTTGCGGCCAAGGGGTGGCATGGAACTGACGCGGTGGTGGATGGCGAGGCTGTTGACGAGACCGGTGGTATTCCTGATGGGTTTGACTGGTGGCAGGTTGCTCAGATCGACGAGCCCCTCTCGGACGTTGAGATGGGCGAAAAGTCTGCTGGGCTGGATATTGCGGTTGTGTTTGGTTCGTCTGAGTCTGATGTCGGCAATATTGAGACATCCTTTGTGGGTGTTGTAGAGCACCGGAGTCAGTCGCTTGCTCCGTCCAGGAGTTTCGATGCCGCTGAGGGGGGTTCTTTCTTGCTTCCTGAATCTCAGGGCTTGGGGGATGTCGCTGAGGGTATGGAAGTTGACGGTGTCGATTCCAATGTCGTGGATGTGCAACAGTCGCCCGAGGAGTTGCTGGACGGGATGAGAGATCACTATCTGCAGGCTCTCTACGTTTCAAAGGTGATATGGTCTACTCGATATTGGGGGGTCGTGCAACTGACATTTTCTAGACTTCTGTGGCGTACTTTGCGAAGGGTCCATTGACACGCTGCCGGACTGCTTTCCAGGCTCGTGACTCGGAACAGCCTCACGGCTCGATGGAGCTGATTGAATCCTATCGTGAAGCTATTCTCGCTACAAAGAAAATGGACCTCAAATACAGAGAAACATTGCCATCGGCAATTCGTGATGCAGTTCTTGCGCTTTCTGATGACGGCGCGAAATCTAAGAAGCGGAAGAGTAAGAAAAAGAAGATGGGCAAGAATGGTCTTTACCCAGAGGAGGAAGCATTCATCCACAGGTGGTGGAAGGACAGAATCTTAAATGAGTCTTCTGCGCAGGAAACGTCGCGTGAAGCAGAGTCTAAGAAACAAATTTCGGATCTCCGCCTCCGCGAGACACAATTGCAGATCCTGCTAATTTTGGAGGTCATGGTGTTGGAAATGACCATTGCTTCGGCAGAGAAAAACAACACCAGCAAGGAGAAAGATGTAAATGGGGAGCAAGGAACATCGAAGAAAGCCAAGCCTAAGAGATCTACGGATTTGAATGTACTGCTTGAACTCCATCTCGATCGGATGTGCATTTGGCATGCTGTGACAATGGAAGAGACCTCTGCCGCTGATACAGCAAAGGCTTCTTCTTTCAGTGGCAGCCATCTTTCAGGCAAGAAAGTCGAGAGCGACGCGGTGCGCGACTTCTGCACGGAAGTCATCATTCCATTCTATGCTGCGCGTCTCCCGGACAAATGCAAGTTGATCACCCGCAAATTCGGCGTATCTGGTGGTATTTCCCCAGCTGCTAAGAAGACACAATCTTCGAGTAAATCACACCGCGTGGAGCCCGGGGCGGAAGTCAAGCGACAACAGCCTGCGCCGAAACCCCGACGAACATTGCAGCGAGTACTTACGGATGATAAAGCGGCAGCGTCCCAGGCTCGGCACCCAGGGCTGACTCGATCAAACACTGCACCGAGCCAGAATAATGCGAAGCGCGATACTGAGCCCTTGCTGCCCACTGTTCTCAGTGGCAGTGTTCGGGGTGGCATTCAGAAAGCAAAACGGACGGAAAACCGCGAAGTTGATCTTAACGCCGTAGCACGACAGCATGAGGCGAAATTAAGAAAGGTCCAAATGCTTGCCAACCAGAAGAAAGAGCTGGATGCTGCTATTAACGCGCTCCGGAAGCCGAACAGAGAGCTCGTCTCCAAGGATCTGGCAGACGATGCGTCGAAACGAGCTATGAGTGGCGGAGGCAGTTCGAGAAAGTCAAGAAACCCCGTGCGCAATCCGTTCGGTGAAGGTGTGCAGGTCATGGCGACTCCTCGAGGCAATCGAAGGAAGGACGCGGTCCCTCGTAGTCTGGCCCCATCCCGGTCATTTGCCGGTGTGGAAAATTCTCCTTTCGGCGAGTCTCCCATAATGATTCCATCCTCGAGTCGGAGAGCGATCTCATTCTCTGGCGCCGACTCGGACCCTTTCAATTCTCACGACAATCCACCCGATGGACGAAGTCCGCGATCAAGTCAACCCGACGGGGCTATTCAAGAAACTCCCACTAGGCCGTCTTCCAAAATTTTCCAGAGTGATACCATAGCTGCGCGTCGGCCGTCATCCTCCACTGGCAAAGGCCTGTTTAGGGTGCCCAACCTCCCAGCTCCCCGCTCATCTACACAACCAATGGTCCCAGGCTCCCCCGTCCATTCACGTCCTAAGAATATCTCCGCATTCACGGAAAATTTGTCGACATCGTCTCGACAATTCAGCCAATCTCTCAACCACGCTCGCGCCTCGGCAATTATGGAGACGCCGCCCAGAAGACAGGCGCCGCAGAGTATATCTACTCCCACTGCTGTGCCATTTTCTCTATCGCTTGATGCTATGGTCACTGATAATCCTCGCGCTCACTCCCCACCTGCCGTCATGGGAACCCCCGTCAAAGGCGCCACAGCTGTGCCCGTAACGCCCGACAAATCCCAATCCAAGTCGATATACGAGCAGTTGGGCTGGGACGACGAGATGGAATTCTAATTTTCCTAATTTCCGATGCATACCCGCCCGAATGCATATCGTCCTCATGTATCATGCATTTATGCGGAGTTTCTCTGTGCTTGTTTTTGCTTTGCTGTGTGTTCTTTCTCCGTTCTTTCTGTTTTATTTGTACTGGTGTTCGGATACACCTGGCCGGAGTTCGGGACGGTTGAAGTACTGGCATGGCGTGCATTGTTGAATTCTTTTTTGGATATATCCCCATTGCCGCATTATCTTAAACCTCATATTCATAAGCATACGATACATTTTATTCATGTCTGGAAAAAAAAAGGGGAAGTTGAACATTGCATACTATTGTTCATTGGGGACTTAGATCCATTTAAGTACCTATATTGTACGGAGTTCTCCGTACTCCGTACATTGTAATGTGATTATAGGTACAATCTACCTGAAACACGAGCCAAGGTGTACAATCTTAGGCCAGCACGCCCAGCTTCCCCTGGAAGAGTATGAGTATACATATGTTGTAGTGTCTCACTTCAAAGGAAATGAGGGCGTGCCATGGTGTCTCATCCATGTCGAGTCCAGGTATGCGTATTCTTCTAAACACTTATTTCCTACTTTTCATATTCTATATTTTGCTGCTGATTCTTCTTAAGCTTCTAGCTATAGCACACACAATAAGAAAAAGTATCCGAGATTACCAAAAGGCAACCAACAACACCTGAGAAGGCCATGCAAACGGCCAACTATTGTCAAGTAGACACTCACCCCCAACATATAAGTCACCTATCAGCTTTTTTTTTAGCCTAGTGGAAGTCAATTGCAACTAGCCCGCCACTAGATCGACTTTGGCTTGATCTAAAAGGCCTTACGTGGTCGCCCCACTGTCAAGGCAGTCGTATTCGGTCTAGGATGTCTTGAATATACGAAAACTCCTGAAAGGAAAATAGTTATCAAATAGTCCACTTCCTTTACCTCCACATTTGCCTTTCAACGTGATAAACCTATCTAAATCATCTTCCAACAATCCGACGATGCTTAAAAGTTCAAGGAATCAGACATCTACACGTATTCCGTGCCAGTCAGTCCGGTCATGAACGAACACGAACACCATAAGGCCCCCAACCACAGCCGACCTCTACTATACGTCCCCAACACATTATGGACGCGATTATTTGCAGCAACGGTGGTCATCGAGACGGTTCTCACAGTCGCAATTGAAAGGTAGGGGCCCGATCTCGAATATGCCTTTCTCGGACTTGGAGCTTATGGGGAAATTAGCTGGATTCTCATGAGCCTGTGGGACGACCTCGACAGCGACAGCGAATCAAACGGAACAATGCGCCTTCAGTCATTTCTAGGCCTCTACATTTTCGCTCTTCTATACGAATTGGCACTGTCATATGATGCACTCCGCCGGAAGAACACAATTCAGCTGGTCGGTCTCTGCATCTGTAATCAGGGCCTGTTCACATATGGCCTTCTCCAGATGAATGAGATCAGGGATACTATCTCTAGCTCGACCAACAAAGACCTTGGCGACCGCTTGAAGGACTTGTATCATGTCGAAATCGTTATTGTCCCGGTGATTCTGGGTGTCGGGACTGTGTGCATGATTTTTTTCACGTGGAAGTTGCGCGCGGAGTTTTCGTGGTCTATATACAAGAACGTCAGTGCGGACTTGCAGATGAAACGTCGATATTTTACGTATCAGGTTTGTTGCAACACTGATAATGTCCTTTGTTTGGCGACTGACTGAATCCCTAGGTGTATATCGCTCTCCTAAAATTCGATTTCTTCTTCGTATTTGGAACTCAACTCCAAATCCTCCTTGTTATCTTCGAAGCCCCCGAAGACATGGATTTTGTCATCAATGCCTCTGTGATCCCAATCACGATAGCGACCTTGGTCCTATCAGCTCAATTTTGCAAGCGCGAGAAAACGAAATCTCTCATGTTCATGATGGTGAGGATCCTCGCGAAGCAATATCCAAACTCTAGACTAACCAGTCATTCAGTTCCTTATGCTTCTTATAGTTGGATTCCTTGTCCTCATCCTCCTTCGGATGTACAGCCGCGACGACAGCACGGATTTCAGCTCTTTCCGGACGTCCCTGACGTTATTCGCAGGTGTCTCGTTGTTGCTGATGGTTCTCACGATCGTCAACTCCGTGATGTGTATCCTTAATTTCAATAAAGGATTGAAAAATCACGTCCACCCTCCTAAAAAGGGGAAAACGGTCTCGTTGGAGCTCGAATCCCAAGAGACACCTACGCGGTTCTTGTTGAACTAGATATACTGACTTCATGACTTACTGCCCTTTTCCTTACTTTGTGTATTCTAGCTATTCTATGTACATATAGACTTCAAAAACATTGGTGACTTACCTAAATCTATATCCTGTACTGAATGGTCCCGGTGTTTACTGATTGGGCGGATCAGCATGAAGATCTGCCGAACACGTCTCCCACTCGTCTCATGATGTTCTCCAGCAAAAAGAATTCCTTCGCATTTTGAAATCGGCATACGGATCAAGATGTCCACTGATTTCCAAGGTATACCTGGTCGGCCTGGGCAACCGCCACCACTCGCACCACAGCAAGCCCCAAGAAAGGAGCTGCGACGCAAGTATGCTCCAAAGGCGACATCAAACTTCCGCTCACACTTCCGCAGCTGTCATCGGTGTCATGCACGAGAGATCAATGGTTATGGTTTGTCGTATATCGCGCTCACAATGATAGAGTTCATGGGCGGTTATAAGTATTGCGGGGATTGAGAGACACTCGTTTGAATAAACAACTCTTCATTGGCGTAAAATAAATATTCCTATATGAACTCAGGATGCAACGCTACGGAGTAAGTGTGGGGTGATCGCCAGTTAATAGCTCCGATGTCTCAGGTTGCCTCCGTTCTAGAGACTCGATATTTAGCTGCAGTACCAGCTGGGCTATTTTACAATATTCTCTAGTTTTTAATTCTAATTTGTCAACCCAATGGTCGTGGAGATTAGCCTGCCACGGCTACAGTTCGTATAATGAAGCTTGATTCGAGATTCTTCTTTTTCTCTTTTGCCCTGGCTGTGCGAGCATACGACAATGCACTCGGTCTAAGGAATGGCTATACTTCTTTATCCACAGCCAACTTTGATATCAAGTTAGTCAAAGATTCCCAAGTCCTTGCCTCCCTCAAGCCAGCCGGAGAGACTTTCGACTTTTTGCCTTTCGACGATATTACATACAGAGCGGCAAATGGCCAATATCATAATGGGGACATTGCATATCGTTATCGACTGTCGGGCTCAACGGAGTGGATTGCAGGCGACTCATCAAAAGCAAGGAAATCATTGAAAAGTGTCGAGTCTGACGCTCTTGCTGCCGCTGAGATGACCCAAACCCTACCGACCTCTCCTATCCATATTCTTCGAGAATGGATTGATGTGGACGGCGATCTCGGCTTAACCTTCACTCTGACCAACAAGGGAAAGCAGACACTGGAAATTGGCAGTCTAGGCTTCCCAACCGAATTCAACAGTATCTTCTCCAACCGCACAGCGGAAGATATGATGGCCAAGTGCTCGCTCACAGATCCGTACATCGGAATGGATGCTGGGTACCTTCAGGTGAACCCCACCTCTGGAACCGGGGCATCGTTGATCGTTACTCCATTGTTCAACACGAGCACTCCACTAGAAGCATGGCGAAACTTAGACGAGCCGAGTACCGAACCTCTCTTATACGGCAGTCAGACATTTGAGGGGTTCTACGAATGGCAGACTCACACCAAAGCCTACGCTGAGAATGAGTGGTCTGGTGTCACCCCATGGAACGAGCCTAGCTCTCGACTTGTGAGCCCCGGCGAATCAGTGGCCTACGGATTGCGCTTCACGGTTGTCAAGGATGGTGCGCGTGGTATACATGATGCCGTCAAAGCCACCAACACGCCTGCCACGCTGGGCATACCGGGATACGTGGTACCAGTCGATCTCACAGCTCAGCTTTACGTCTTCCACTCTCGAATCTCTGAGGTGGTATCCGAGGACAACTCCTTTAAGATAACCCAAGGTGCGAATGGCATTCTGTCGCTCACCCCGACTGGCTCAGTCTGGGGTCGAACTAGAGTAACCATCACATACGAAGACGGCAAAGTCCAAACGGTTCACTACTTCATTACGGACTCGGCACCAGCAACAATCGGCAAACTGGGCGAGTTCAGTACCACTTCGATGTGGTTTAATGACACAAATGATCCCTTCCACCGAGCTCCATCAGTGATTACATGGGACCACTCAACCCAAGCCCAAGTCCTCCAAGAACCCCGAGTCTGGATATCCGGGCTAAGCGACGAAGGTGGCGTGACCTACTTAGCCAGCGCAATGAAACAGTCTGGTCTAGCCGACGCGACAGAAGTAGCAAAACTTGAACAATTTGCTTCCGACGTTCTGTCAAAGACTATCCAAAACCCAGACTTCACCGTCCGCAAGAGTATCTTCTTCTACGAGCCTGCTCAACTCCCTGAATACACATACGATCGCTCCATCGACTGGGGCAACTGGTGGTCGTGGAATAAGGATGCCTCCTATGCTACGGACCGTGCCTATAACTATATCCATGTGATCGGGGCATACTGGGCGCTGTACCGGGCAGGTCGAGATAACGGGTCACTTCTAAAAACACACACTTGGCAGTGGTATCTCGGTCAAGCATACAATACCACAGTGACCTGTTTCGCCACGGATTCAGCCGGGAATGGGCTTGTGGGATATTCGCGTCTCGGACTCATGGGCGAGACTGTCGTTGGCGAGCTTCTATCAGATTTGAGGCGTGAACAGTGGACTGCCGAGGCCGACGCTGTGGAGGCTGCTATGAAGCTTCGCGCTGAGGCATGGGATACGGAGGATGTTCCTTTTGGCAGTGAGATGGCTTGGGACTCGACTGGCCAAGAGGGAATCTACTACTGGAGCAAGTGAGTTTTTGCTCTTTCCGGACCTTGTTGGCAGCGACACTTGATTTATTAACGTTCCATTTAGCTATTTCAAGTTAACTAACACAGCAACGAAGACCATCAACAGCATCCTGGGATATATGCCCACAGTGCCACATTGGGGATGGAATGGGAATGCCCGGCGATATTGGGACTTTATGTAGGAGCCAGTCCAATCTTTTACAGTTGAACTCTCTTGACTTGCTTCCTTTACTGACCTCTCATTAAGCTATGGCGGCAAGCTACAGCGCATCGAACGCATGATCCATCACTACGGATCAAGCCTCAATGCACTACCCTTGCTATCACACTTCCGCCAGAATCCAACCGACACCTATCTCCTCCGAGTTGGCTACGGCGGGATAACAGGACCACTATCCAATATCCGACAAGATGGCTCCATGTACAATGCTTTCCACTCCTTCCCTGATACCCTGCAAGGCGACGATTATTCAGGCGATTACGGTTCAAACTTCCTAGGTATGATGCTTGGATCTGCTGTGTATGTCGTCGATGATCCGGATGTCGGGCTGACCGCATACGGCGGGAATATCGACACCAATGGAGACACGGTCACTGTGCAGCCACGGGATGCTGTGCGTCGTCGGGTGTATGTTGCACAAATGGGGGTATACGTCACGATCAGCGCCGGATTGATAGAAGAGGTCTCGTTTGATATTTCTCGACCGACGTCTCTTCAACTACGTATCGTTCCTGGGTCATCGGATGTCTCTTCTGTTGTTGTTTGGGTTGAGACTCCGGGTACGGAGGATGAGTATGCTGTGGTTGGAGATCAATTGGAACGCGTGAGAGGAGGCTGGAATGTCAAGTTCGCCTCTGAGGAAGCGGATGTTGTTGTTTCTAAATTGTGATTTGCTGTAAAACCGGGGCCGGATGCAGGTGCTATTGGATCATTTAGTGCTCATGTGCGATGTATATGAATGGAATGGGGAATTATATTATTCAAGGCCGACCAATGAACTATTTAACTGCAGAAGAATGAGGCTAATGCACTTTGACCGATTGAGGTGCATATCCTTGCATAGTCACTTATTTGGTCCACCTACATCCCTATTTTGCTAGAAGCATCCGGCTCTCCAATAGTAATGGCCCCTTCAACAATGAAAAAGTACATCTAGATGATACACCACTCCCCAATCACCGAATCAAATCTCAGTATCCAAGTTACACACCATCCCAAATCAACCACATCGGAGTCGGCGCTGCAATGGAGGGTATCGTCACCGAGGGCGTGCATCAAGCTGCAAGGAAAGCGCGGGGACTAGCTACGCTAGCTGGTGATTGGACTAGGGGAAGACAAAGGTGGCGATTTGATTCTATCTGGTCTTATATTACGGTATGAAGAGGATGAGATAGAGGGACGAGTATCAGGCAAGGCCAAAACATAAGGGATCATCACATGAAGATCCAGCCTCAAGTTACTGCTATCCAAGTAACAACAAACATCCAACGGCCCCCGTCGCATTTATCAAGCTAATCAAAACCCAAGGCCCTTGCGCCCAATGGCATCTGCGTCCTCTCAACCCTCAAAAGTATTTTTGCATCGACCCTACTAGGCCCTCCTCTTACCTTTTCGCAGAACTAGCCAAAAGTTCGAAGGCAACCAAGCAAACCAGCGTCATCCATGACATAACCGAGAAATTCCATGCAGTTGACGTCGGTGATCGTAGTCGAGCAGTTCTCGCAGCCGAACGTTCACCGAGGGAATACTTGCTACGGGGGAAGATCGTTGGATGAGATACCAGCCAATCGGGCAGATCCGCGAGGCAAACGGGTGTGCACCATAACTTTACAAGACCTGGAGACGTCTGTGGCGATGTTGTAGATGTCAGATTGCATGTCCTCTTGCCGAGAATACCATCCAATCGGGCAGATCCCCAGGCGAACGGGCTGCACGATACTTTACAGGCCTGGAGATATACTGCGGCGAAGCTGGAAGGGTTCTCTTGGCCAAGCAGTGGCTAAAGTTCTAGTGACGTCCTCGAGTACTATTTTATACGAGTGTAGGTTTTATGTGGCTGAATGCTGTTGTGCTGTGTGGCTTTCCGCGTTTTCACTTCTTTGTTTTCATGTTTTCTCGCAACTTAATTTGATTCAAAGTTGATAGACACGAGCTACAGTTATCATAGCGACGTCAGATGTATGTTGACAGTTTGATACCGATCAAACCATTGGTGGGTCCGGGAAAATAGTTCCATGTACTCCGTACCAATGGCATGGATAATGGGAATGTCAGAATGTCAGAATATCAGAATGTCACTTGTTAAAAAGTACAAAAGTCCAATATGAGAAATGTGACATGACCTGAGTACATGTCTATGATGAAACCTGTCCCAATCGGGTAATTCGCCACTTGTCCAAGTTTCCACCATACATAATCCAGGATCCTCTGGTTTCCTTTGGATTCCACGAGGATCATGGTTCCACATCCCCAATTCCTCGGGTTTGGGGCCTGCGTTAGTTCTCCATATTAACATTAATAGATTTGCCATTTCGAAGATCAGCTCATATTCTCATATTTCCTTTCTCGGCTATGTATCATGTGACTTGGGGTTACGCGGCAGGTGAGTCACATCGCTTGACCTGCCGGCTTGGGCACATCCAAGAATAGAGTGTGGGGAGTTTGGGGAAAGATTCAAGTGTTATTTTCCAATATTTATGGTGTGATCGGGAAAGCAGATTGCCCAGCAAAAAAAAATAAAATTTGTTCTTTGGTAATTATAGTATGTCAGAAGTGAAGTTGTAAAGTTATATACAGGTTCATTTTGGTGTATTCATCATGGTCATCAAATCGTAATATCGTGTCGGTGGCAAAGGATCAGGAGGAAAGATTCGGGCAGTCGAGAGTGTAGGAGAGAAAAATTATAAGGAAGAGGCGAGGTCAACCCGCGATTGGGGATACGATGCAAGATCCCCCTGTCCAGAGGTGTTTAGAGGTCGCCTCGAGACAATTGCGACCCTTTTCCAAAAAACCATGCTCGGAAGAATTTTCAGACGAGGTTGATGAGGTTGAGGAGGTTGATTCAGGTGATGCAGGTGGTGCTGGTGGTGTCGGAGTTGCCGCAACAGCAACAGGCTCTGGTTTTTGTGATAATTGTTCGGTGACCTCGACTGGAGTCTCGTTGGTCGGGGCTCTGTTCTTTAGGACAGGCAGCTCTGTGTTGATCTCATCCACATCGTCTTCCTCATCGGTATCTTCGAAGTCAAATGAGCTGATGCGAGACTTCATGTCATTCTCGGTCCAAGAGACAGATCCACAGTGCAGGCGGAAGTGAGCCACGCAGCGGCGAAGGTCCGGATCTGGTGCAGTGGCTTCACGGGCGAGTTTCTCTTTTGAGAGATGGGTGAGCTTGTAAGGGAGGGCATTTCGGTTTGCCATTGGGGGCCAGCGTTTATTTTGCACAATTGGCACAGAGGCGGTTGGTTTTGGGGTCTTGGGGGCTCTTTGAGTAGTGCCGGTGTTCATGTTTTTAAATGGTGATCATAGACTGTTTTTCTTTTATAATAGGAAGAGAGATCAGAGATTTAGGAGATATTTTGGGAGAGAGTGGAATAGTAGAGTTCCAAAAGGAAAAGAGCCAGGGAAAGGGAATGGAGAGTCTTATACCCTCGAAAAGTCGAAAAGAATAAAATGGGGGAATTGGTCCAAGCGCCCAGGCCGTGTCACCAGATCAAACCGGTTCCAGGCTCTGATGGGTCTCTCTGATTTTTCCCTTTTGCTTCTCTGTTTTATGACTTGTCTATTACTTTTTTAAACTCTTCTACCCCAGAAACTTAGTTCATATTCTTCATTAATTTATTCCTATTTGATAATGAATTCATTATCTCAGTCCAAACTGGTTTAGAAAATTATCAAAGGGAAAAAAATGGGATCGCCGGTGTACGTAGCGGCTATTCGGACCCTCCAAGTGGATAGCCCCAGTTTTCTTGATCATTTGATGCTTCGAAAATTTTTCGGTGGAGACTCTTCTGCGGAGCTTATCTTGCTTATTCGCCCTAATCCCAGAAGAAAAGGGAATTCAAAGAAGAAAATAGAAAACGTTGCACGGGGAAACTCACGATCCCCACGGATTACTTTCCTAGGAAATCCGAACCCCCTCATCCTTCACGCCGTTTTCATCTTGACATATTAACATATTCACATATGAATTCAACTTTTGTTTCCCTTCTCGAAATAAAAATAAATGAAATCTCTACTACTCCGTACATAAAAACGATTTCCCTTTGGTAACCTTGGAACACCATCGCATTGTTACTTAGGTAGGTTGACTCAGCAAGCCCGAACTCCCGGGGCCCAACCTTGGAAAACTCTGGCTAAAAAACACTGCATTGCTTCCGTAGCCAAAAGAGATTCCACTGCATTATATTATAACACGTATGTTGTATGTGGCCCAACCACGATCTGCTTGTCCCGTGAGCATAATTATGTGCTGGACAAAGAACATCCGTACACCGACAAGTCCCAAGCATTCCACATGTTAGCGTCCCACAACCCAGGAATACGCCCCTCCTGACGATCTTTGGGAATCCGAAGACGGCTTTCGTCCCTAATCGTCTGGTTGTAATATCCGTACTCCGTATAACGGAGATGCTCCAGACCCCCCGTAAACCTACAGCTCCTTTCGTGGACACCAAATAAGCCAAGAAAAAAAAAAGGGTGGCGCCCGAAGATGGAATGTATTTACTCCGTCCAGTTTATCCTTTAGAAAGCCATGGAAAATTATCCTGCCGATACTTCCTATTTCACTCCGGCCCCGCCTTGGATAAAATGGGAAGCCAAGCACAACTTCGTAGAACCTGATCGAAACAATGAACTAAATAATAGAAGTGTACAATTAAACTCGGGAATAATGATGCAACCCCGTTGGCGAAACAAGAAAAGGAAAAACAAAGGGATCTGCTGCAGACCCCACTAGAATTCCATTATTGAAGCTATTGCAGCCACCAAGCCCAAAAATCGAAGTCTAGAATCTCCTTTTAAAGGGCTGGGCACTTGGAGACGCTTGGAAAGCAGATTCTGTCCCCGCTAGCACACGTTTGGTGCGACCCACAATGCTTCTAGCGCGCCTCGAACTACCTAGGGTAGTTCGCACGCTTTAGACTAGTTACATGACCCCCCTAACTAAATGGGACTTTTTCTTACGGTCGCTAGCGGTTTCATATCTGTAGGTCATACTCCGTGTAAAACAGCACATTGCTATCAAAGGACCAATAAGCGAAATACCGGGTCTCGGACCGGAACAAATATCACCCATGCGGAGACGCAGACGGTCGACTATAAACGACCATCAGTCGATACCGTACATATAACGAGAATAGCGATCTAAATGCGCAGTTTACTACAGAAATGCGTCTGCTCCTAAGTACCTAACAAACTAGCTGCCATGCTACTGGTCCCGTCAACAAGATCATCCTGTTGATTGTTGTCCTCGGTTTGCCTCGGGTTAAGTCTCGGTACAGTTGGCAGCGGTATAATGTGCTATCCTTGCCGCTCCACCTCTTCATCCAACAAATAAATGAGTGATTGAGAAGTCCACTGGTTGACTCTCGGTCTTCTAGGCGTTCCTTCGGCGCCGACCAAAGGAAACTGGCAAGCTTTTTGGTAACTTCTTTGCCAAAATCAGTCGGTAATCTCTCGCTAGTGTAGATGGCAAATGTTCCTTTGCCGTGCTTAAATAGCTCCGTGTATAAGAGATCGCAAAGTCCTATAAACCTCGTTAACGGTGTAGCCAAATGATTCTACCGGGAAGAGTGGCTCCTTTGTAACAAGCTGGGTTAAGTAGGTGTAGGGTTATTAGAAGGAGTAGGCACCAATCATGAAGACTAAAAAAGGATCAATCGGGAGGACCGGGGTGATATTTCTGGATATTATACATTGGTATTGACCCTAGCACATCGACCTGGCCTTTGCAGGTGTCTATCTTTGTCTCTGTCTTTAGCCCTTTATTTCTAACTAGAGAACTTAAATTGAACCACTTCTATCTGCTCTGGAATATAAACCTGTACTTTGTATGTTGCAAAGGCAACCATAATGTAGTTGAGAGTTCAGGCGGCTCTGCTTGGGCCCCAGCCGTTCTGCGGGAAGTCTGCTGTTGGCCGCCACTCTGTTATAGCCGCCCTTCCATCAAACTAATATTTGTTTTCGGTCTGTGCGCTATTTCGGGCATATTTTCTGACTCTCTTATTGCAGCTCGCAATTGTGTTGTCGTTAATGTAGCATCGCGAGATAGACTTTTGCCCTACCGTGGTTCGGATCCGGCCCGGCTGTCCTACCAGCGTCTCTATATCTCATTCCTCGCACATTTCTCCGTAGAAAATAATGTTGTAATTATTCTAAATCGACTCGTTCCACTTTTGATGGCTTAAATGAGCTCTGACTTCTTTACAAATCAGTAGGAAAGCCGGCAAGTTAGTGAGTCAAGGTACAACGTCGGTTCCGGCAAGTCCACTGGCGAGTAAAGTGCTGGTGGTGGGATACCGGTGGGAGACCAGTGGGAGACCGTTGACAAACCATCATCAGCTTCGGCATTCTTTGGGTGATCATGGTAATGTAGAACTTTCCAGATACAAATAGAGAGAACGATGGGTCATTCAATGGTTACGCCTCAACTATCCTTCTTCCATCGATTCTTCTTATTATTGAACAATCACCATAGCCATTCGCATTGGCATCATTAGTCTTTCACCTGGTGCATGGGTAGCTAATGCTTATCTACTCTATCTACAGAGCCCAAAGTTCCAAATCGTGGCTATTTGCAATTCATCTGTGGAAAGTGCTGCGAAGAGCATCAAAGATCTCAAACTCCTAGGCGAAGTAGAGGCATATTGGAATGTGCACGATCAGTAATAGAAATTTCTCCCCTGACTTCTGCTTCCCCTTAGTAAGACCTTGACAATAAAGAATTCGGGAGTATGTAATCTTGTTTGAATTAGCCTAATATCTCTGAGGGGTGGACTGTATCTGAATTCCAAGGTAGGTGTTGCACGCCCGTCCGTTAGGGATATTGTTAATGGATTACATGCAATTGACCAAGCTACGGCCCACGTAGCTTGAGCGGGTGGGAAGGCGTAAGAAGGTGCTGATATAGGTGTATATTAACAGAACCGAAGGCCTATCAGAGAATCAAGCGAGTTTGGTAATTGATGGTCTATGTTGTATTACAATCCACCGCCGTGGCGATTTAGAACCTATTGATTCATCACGAATTCCAAGAGCCACACCAAATGCCAAAATTTGCCCAAAGCACTCTATTTTCGAGACTCACTAATCAATACACCACAACAGGAAGGTTTAAACCCTTGTTTACATGCTTACCTACCAGGTGGGAGGCCGGATTACCAATCGACTCGGCCAATGCAAATGTACCTAGGTAGTGGAACGTCAAATTATATTAATCCATCTTTGCCCAGTTATTTCCCTACTTAGTTTTGACTATATCGTGAAATATTATCTTTCACATCCGATAACGAGGAACAGCCATGGCAGCTGCAGCTGATAAAGTAAAACCCTACATACCTCTTGCCGGGTGCGCCGATGATGGCTGGACAAAAGAAGACCAGGCAACAGCCACATGTTACTGTGGCGGGGTGCAGTTGGCATTTGTAAGTGTTCCCAAACATACCAATACAATCCACAATATCCCGCTCATGTCACGGAAAAATTCCAGCCAACACAAGGCCCAGGCCTAGTCGACACGTTCGTTTGTCATTGTACAGACTGCCGCAAAATCACCGCGTCTATGTTCGCCACCAATTTCATTATCGCAGACACGTACCTCCAACACATACGAGGCAAAGAAACCCTTACAACGTTCAAACAGTCGAAAACTATTGCCTCCGGCAAGGCTATGACGAACTGCTTCTGTTCTACGTGTGGCTCGCTCATGTACCGCATCAGTGAAGCTTTCCCGGGACACAGTATCCTGCGTACCGGTACAGTAGATGATTTCAATCTGCATGAAACTAAATTGAGGCCTAGAATTGAGATGTACACCAAGGACCGTGTGGGATGGCTGTGTGGTGCGAGTGGCGTCAAGCAGGTGGAGGGATCGATGTCTACTCCAAAGACCACTGGTCCTCCAAGACTTTAGATGAAATAGTTGGAGGTTGGACTTAGCAGCTCTATTTATTATTTATTGGAAACTGTATTACCACTATGATTGATTCTTGAAGTTCATTTCCGTATTTAATTAGGCAGCATGCACATGAATCGAAATCATTTCCGTTTTTAATTAGGCAGCGTGCACATGAATCGAAATCATTTCCGTTTTTAATTAGGCAGCATGCACATGAATCGAAATCATTTCCGCCTTTGTAGTCACCACCATACTGTGACTGGAGTATAAGAGGGAGAGTGGAGTCGTGATTTGAAAAGAAAAGTTGGGCAGCATATTTATCTATTATTTGTCATTTTGAGCTGAGTGTATGTTAAATTCTATGGTGTTGAAATAATGGCCATCCGTATCAAGGAACTGACTAGCGGTATAAACTGCCAAATTATTGACAGCTAAGTTATTGACTTATCTCGCAAAATCTGTCTGTAGCTGGGGAGACTTGTCGACCTGGCATCTCACTTTAGGAAGGTGAATAAAGCTTCGGGGCTCATAACCTATGGAGAGAGGTCTATGGAGACCATAACCTATGGAGAGAGGTCTATGGAGACGTCGAGGTGCATCTATGGATGGTGCAATGTGAGAATTATATTGGCTAGTTGCAGGTGCTAGATTCTGAAATATGGATTAATATGTCCTTTCTCGACCCATCGTTCTTGCACCGTCGGGTTAGACATCCTGCCTGTCTCTAGTGACCCGGCTTTGCTGAGTTGTTTATGATTAGGCCTTGATTGAACCACTGTTACTGACCCCCTGGAATATATAATGCTTTTTGGCGCTTTACGGGGTCCATATTCGACACATTCCTCGCAGGACAACCTGTTCATTGTATATTGCAAAGGCAATCATAATGTAGTGGTACGGTAGATTCCAGAAAAGAACATCTACAATATATACACAAATTTTTACCAAACCGATCATGTAAATTCGTCCTTAAACACCGCATGCCCAGCACAGACTACTGCACCACACCAGATGCGTCTTCCAAACACCCCTCTTCTAGGATTAGCGGATTTAACACCCTGCAGATCTTACTCGATCTCTGGGTCACGAGTTCTCTACCGCGGGCACTCCCGGCTGCTGCTGTTACTGCAGCCTAAATCAAACGACGAATATGATCCAAGCTAATGCATGCACACGACCAGCCTTCTGAGTTTGCTCGTCAATACTCTAGGAAGGTGTCATCTCCGGGTATCTGGCATACGGCTGCAACTAAGCCAGTTGCTGGGCTTACTACGGTATCTACATGTACACCATGCAGTAGAAACCAGCCTTCACATGATAAATATCGCTAGAAGCGCCGTTAGACTTTACATAGTAGTGGATCAGGACTTAGTCCCACCAAATCATTGAGCGCAGCCTCTCGGACTTGCGCAGTAGCTCCAGTCTTAATTCGCCACATTCAAACGCCACTAGAAGAACTTTCTTTATTTTCAGAGTTGGACCAGGTCCACACTATATTGGAGACCTGGGCGCTATGATATATAGTATGGACGAAGCAATGCTGTGCTTCCCCATGTACAAATGCAGTTGTCTGTTTCAGTCATATTCACAGCCGCACATCAAACAGGATTTGTATTAGACTAATAGGCAGGCTTTCTCTGGACTCTGCTAAAAAGCCCGTGAGCCGTTCTAGATTGATTTAGAGCTAGGCTACTACCAATTGAGATGGACCTGTACAACAGTACAACGCGTGGCCCCCGACACGCAACACTCAGATCAACGTCAAGCATGCTCATTATATCAAATAGGAAAGAGGGAAAAGTGCCTCCCGGTGTCTGCGTTGCTGGTGACGCGTGAGCATATTTACAGCTTAAATTTGCTTTTAGAACCGATATACGCCTGTCCTTTCTGCGCAGACCATGACTAGCAGTTCCCGGAATTACCCATATCAGAGGGACGATGGGATAGGTTGAGACGTGATATGCGTGCACCCCCAACTCATCGATGTGAGATGCCCCTATAATTCAAACACATGGCTTTTAAACGCGTAGTATAGCTACTTTCCAGGAGTTTGGTCTGCTGTAACTCTCGATCAGGGCCATGTTTCCCCTTCGTTGTCAAAAGTGGAGTCAAAATTGGTTCTGATGTTGCATCAAAAGAGAAACATTCTAAACTCTCGCCCACAAAAGAAAATAGACTGGAGATGCAATTGGACATGTCCACTTTGACAATTTTTGTACCTTGTTGTGTTGGCGGGTAATGTTCTCATCTCATATCTGCGTCAATTAACTGGCCCCGCATGTGTCCAATATGTCTTTAGGAATGTAGGGATACGAGTGGGGGGATATTAATCATAGAATGCTTGGATATGGCCAGGTGGCGGTATAGTGATCGTCGTTCGTCGTCTTCGAATGTACGTTGCTTACCGCCCATTTCCCCTTGATGAGATTGATAGGGACATAATATCAAATTGTACGTCCATGTGTATTTGTGCATACCCAGCCGGCGTCTAAGAAAGTACATAACCCAATAGATCTGCGTAACGAAGAACTGAAACGCCACTCGGCGCGAGTTGATGGTTCATAAAGTCAATACCAGTCCATTTTCTAAGGTGGTAGTTAAGAAAGCATGTTGCATCCGGGGTAGCTCGACTTGGCCCGCTAGCTAAAAGGACCCCTGTGGCTCATGTAAGTTATGTAGTGAGCATTCACGAGAGAAACGAGATCCAGTCTTTCCTTATTTGGAGCTACAAGGTCACCCTGTGCTCTGTGAGCCTGGCACAGATCCTGCCATCTGTGCGACGGGGAAGAAAAGCCGGCGCCGAGCGTGGAAAACGGCAGCTCTGCAAGACCGCGCTGCTGTGAGACATGGGACATGTATGATTATCTGGGCTTTTTCCATTTCGAACCTTGTACATTTGCCATATGCTTCATGGTATAGTCCGACTGTCGAGGTGGGCGTTATTGTGTGACGATACTACATCTTGCTCTACCTCGTACAGCCGTTGCAGTTCCCGAGCATATGAGCGAAAACTAACTCCGGTTTGGGCGATATTGCAGACATAAACAGCACTGTGTGCACTGTGTATGTTTTAGGAATTGTGCTGATTGGAGCGTTTTTAGGTATCTTTACTTGGTTAGTCGCGCATGGGCCGTTCGTCGATCGACCACCTACTCCGTAGTTCCCGCTCAAATGACCCTCTTGGTTCCATCCATAGTGTCTTCTGCAGGTCATCCGCTCGTCGTTTGACGAATCAGTGACCTTACATGGGTTTTTAATAACACTTTGTCTGAGAGAACGCTGACACGAGGCTTCAATTTATATTGCAAACACGACCGCTCCGATCCCGATTACAAAACCCTATATCATAGGGTTTTAAGATCCTTCCTGGTCCATTAATATACTGTGAGCGTATTCCATCCCCTAATTTATGAGCACCTATATCCTCTGACTAATTCTCTAGTCAAGCATTGCCGGTCAGCTAAATCAAGTCTCTCTCAATGCACGAGCATGCCCCCGCTCATCTTCATCTATGGAGCAGAAGCACTAGGTCTAAATGGTCGCTAGCTCTTGTTAGGCTGAGAAGACGCGGTCCGAGCCCACTAATCTTGCTCTCTTCCTCACTTTTATACAATAGCCCCTCGTCATTGCCTTCTCCGGAGCATTATCGCCCGGCTTGTTGAATGTCGGCATAAAACAAGAACTACCTTTGAAGTCTAGGTGACCAGGACGATTTGAGTATCAGGTGGCTTGCCATTTGGTATTTGTTCTTTTGATATTTCTAGTTTTTGCTTGACCCGATATAATCCGAACGCGCATATTAATCTCATCGCCTCGGATTGGACCTTGAGATCCTGCATACAACATACTACACTAGTCGATATGGGGTTAGAAACACGCATATATCCGGGAATCACTAATGATCTTGTCTCTTTCCTATGGAGCCAATTATCTGTGAGTTTCGTCGGAGATTCGTCACTCTTCGTTTCCACGTCTTGCTTCTTTCGTCTATAATTTCGACCCCCGGCAGCTATTTAAGACACCTCAGGTTACACAATACACGAACCAGACTGAATGGCCGTGATTATAGCTCTATCGGAGGTCTGTCACAGTGTCTAGACTCCGCCTCACGTTGTGATGGACCTTGCTCGAAAACGGAATAGGAAAAAGCGCCATTCAGGTACATTCTAAACAAAGTTATTCGTCCTTTCATACACTCTTCCCATAGACTATAGCCTACACTCGAAATCTTGGTCTCCAGCGATCGGCAAAAAATATATTACAATCAGAATATATAAATACAAAGGACAATACCAATACTTTAGATGTGATTGACCTCGTGATTGGCTCCAATATGGACAGTTCCTGAGTACTCCGTCCTCTGTACCTATAGTTAGGAGTTTCAAACCCAAAGAGCGTTGTACTCTCCTGTGCTACGGTTACACCTTGTTTTTTTTTTTAAAAAAACCAAAAATTTCAATTAATTTATTAATTTATTCTTTTACTGTATTTTCCCCCTTCCTGCATACGTCTCCATACTGTTGCCCAAAAGACGCAGGGTCCTTCTCCATGTTTCTCAACCCATATCGAGGATTCGATCGCTGTACCACCTCGGAAAAGCGTCCGTCTTGGATTACGTTGGAACAAAAGAAGTCAAAGAGTCAAAAGAGTCAAAAGAGATGAAAAGCATCGTTTTTCTATGCTTATGCTGCAGCTGAGTGTTACCGTTCATGACTTCATTTTGTCTCCTATCGAGCCTGTTCGTATATTGGCGCCGTACCCGCGACCAGAACATCACAAAAAGATTCCCATTCCCTCCGGCTCCATTTAGATCTGATCCTTTTTTAACTGTAGCCAATATCCGATCTATATCCGATCTATCACGGGAGAGAATTACTAATCTCCAACAACCGGGGCCAACAACTCCCAAGATTAACTATCCAAGTCCCGTATGTGCACCTTTTTTACTTGTTTTCCGGGGCTCTCTAGGACAAACAACTTGGTCTAGCCTCTACAGAGCCCAAATCATCTTCAGCCTGCAGGAATTAGGCCTTTTTTTGGTCTGATTCGGCGCCACTTTCTTAGCAGCGGACTTGTGAGTCTTAATTGTTTCTGCTCGTGACCAATCACGAGACGATCGTTTTATTCTTTTTACTTTATTTTATTCTTTTTTCCCCTTTGCCTGTTGCCCCTTGCAAGACCTGAGTTCTTCTCGATAGAGACATAATAGAAAGACTCGAAATCTTGATTTGCGTGAGATTATATTTCCCTATTTAATAACACGTCCTCTTTGCAGAACACCTGAACTCTCAGGCTTCCCGTCTTCACCGCCTCGAGTCCCTTCCCCTCTCAAACCCAAGTTCATCCGAGATCCTACCTAGAAGGCTACAAGCTTCTGACGACCTGACCTAAATCTACCTTAGAGGTCTGAAAGTCTTGCATGAGCATTCCCCTGCTCTCTTGCGCCACTTTTCATACCTCCTCCGCCCAGGTACCTTGCGCGTTAACCTGACGCGCAATCTTGCGACGGGCGCTCTAACCGTCCGACCTTCGACCCGCTATGTATGGCACGTCTCACTTATCCACAATGAACGGTATGGATATTATTGATGGCTCGGGGACCATCGATCCCGCAAACTTGAGCAACTCCGGTATGTGTCTTATCGCATTCCTTGCTGCCTTGGCCTCGTGCCTATTTTGCCCTCAATCACAAATTCTCGCGCGCGTCCTGTTTTCTTATGGATGGGGTCACTTTGATGGAATGAATCACATGTTTCCTATTCATTGTCTCGTGTCCTTGGGTATCCCCATCACTGCTTCAAACTGATACCCCTCCTAGTCTCTGTTGCCCTACCAGCACATTCCCATGCAATAGCAAGCCCCCGTGGTGTCAAGCGTAGTCGCACTCCAGACCACATGGGAAATAGACATGCCGAGGGGGGGTCAGGATGATGGTACGTGGGGCAGCGGGAAAGCATTCTCAATGGGTTCCATCCAGAACCATGCTATCTTCCCAGCGCTTGCACCTTGCCTAGTCACAGCTTCTATACTTCATGAGATGGATGCTAACATTGCCTTTGTTTTCTAGAGGAACAAAGTCGCCGCAAGCGTGGCCGTCCCCCAAAGACTCCTAGGCCAAGTTCTAGTGACCAGGCCATCGCAAGCACTCCTGTTCAAACCCCTCAAATGCAAGCACGCCCACTATCGCAAGCCACCGCCGGGTCGCCGTCTCTTGCATCACCGGACAGCAAAAGCACACCAACGAAAGCACTGGTCAAGGCGCTCCCTACTGTGAGAGATCACACATCAGACCAGCTGAATGAAGAAGGCGATGAGTACATCCCTAAGGAGTTTGATGAAGCAGGAGAGACCAAGGCGGATCCTATGGGATATCCGCTGGGTGGCCGCGAATACAAATGCCGGACATTCCGCGTTCCCCTCCGGGGCAGAAAGCTATTCATGCTTGCAACTGAGTGTGCGAGGGTGTTGAATTACCGTGATTCATATCTTTTGTTCAACAAGAACCGATCGTTGCATAAAATCATTGCTTCCCAGATTGAGAAAGACGATCTTATCCAGCAAGATATCCTGCCGTATTCCTATCGGTCCCGCCAAATCGCTATCGTCTCAGCCAGATCCATGTTCCGCCAGTTCGGGAGCCGGGTAATTGTGAATGGCCGTCGCGTTCGAGATGACTACTGGGAAACCAAGGCTAGGAAGCAGGGCTTCACGGAGGATGACCTCGCGGGTGAGAAGCGCCCTGGGGCAGCCAAGGCTCGGGATGGTTCCGTGTCAGAGCCAGCCACAAACATGTTGCCGGCGCTGCCTCATAACGATGTTGTCTACAGTAATGCCATCGAGCCATTGCCTCACGGGCTCTCGCTGGATACTTCCGAATCTTCTTTGTCCCTAGCTCCAGTCCCCATGATTCAAATGTCGACGACGGATGACCCGCGGCTGCGGGATTACACTGTCATGCCTCGTGCACGCCAGGAATTGACCGGGCAAGCTTACCACGACCGCACGCAAACTAGTTCAGCAGCAGACCTCATGAATCAAGCCCAACACACGTCTGATTTCAACAAAATGCTGAGCATTCAGCGCAGTTTCCGCCAAAAGGGCTTGGATGAATTTTACTCCAAGCCCCGCGAGGCCCCGGTTTCAGAGACCCAGTCTAATGCTGCTCTTGAGTCTGGTCTGTCTGTGTCACAGCCTGTTCAAGTATCACAGATGCCCTCGGCCGGGATGCCAAATCCCGCTCATACGCAGCATATGCTCCCTCAGCAGGTCCCCATGCAGCCTAATCCAATGATGGCTGGACAACCAAACTACCCCCCAACAGCCCCACCCCCAGTCCGCTGGACAGGCTCCCCTGAGGATCCCACCAAATATGCAGCCCAATCTTATGCAACAGCGGTCCAACCCATCCATGGGCGGTGGTATGGGTCAAGCTCCACCATACGGATATACACCGCAACAACAGCAGATTTGGGGACAGCCACCCCCACAGCCACAGCCATCTCCGTTGCCGTCATCGGGACACCAGGGCGTTGGAATGTCTCAGTATGGTCAACAAATGTCTGCAGCTCCGCAACAAAGCCCATCGCCCCTCGGGCATCATCCGCAGCAGCAACACCCCCACCAGTCTCCTCGCAACCAACAGCGACAGTCAATACCTCAGATGCCTCAGCAATATTCCCAGATGCAACACCCTCAAGCGCCGCAGACTCAGGGTATGCAGGGCATGGGATATCCGGGAGCCAACCCGGCCGGTTATCCGAGCATGGCACGAGCCATGTATCCACCCAACCAGGGCCAACCCTTCATGGGTGGAAACCCTCAACAGGCGGGTATTGCAATGAACATGGCAGGCAATGGTATGCCTGGGTGGCCTGCCGGACCGGGTGGCCCGATGCAACCCGGACAACCTCAACCGGGCCAGTCTGGCAGCCCCTTAGGAGGTGGGTGGTCGTACTAGCTTACGGCGGCCGGCGTTATCTAGATTGGCGTTTTCTTTTTACCAGTTTTTACACTATCATCTGAGGCGTGATTTTTTTTTTTTCTTCATTTTCACCACATGCTTTCATATCTGAAATATTCTCCTGTTCCAGTGTTCCACTGCCTTCTTCGCTGCATCCCATGGTGAAGTATGTTCGGTTAATGTTAATCTGGGCCAACCTTCCTATACCCTTTGTTGAGTTGTACTTAGTCGATGTACCTGTTTCTTTGTTTACTTATTCTCATCTTTCCCTTGTTCTCTTGGTATGCCTTTACCGGCTTTGGGTCCTTATGCTCGGCGTTTATTCTTACCCTTTTGGACAGAGTGTTACAGGGTTATGAGTATGTACGTTTCTTGTTTTACTTCTTATACATGGTCATAGAAGGTGAATCGCTGTGGACAGTCTATTTTTCTTGTGTCTCGGCCAGGATGTCTGATTGTCTCTTGGCTGTTTAAAGAAATGTGTGGTCCTTGTTTGCTTGCATCTCCTTGCCCTGTACTTGCCTATGTATCAATATTAAGGCTTCACCCTTGCTTGTTGGTATACCTATCAAATGACAGTTTCTCTTCTCTACTCAAGTCTACTGCTGCTCTTCATACATATTATGTTTCTTCCGCCGGTTTCACTTGGCATGGGATCTCCACTCTGACTTGTTTTTCCTCTCACCCTCTCATAAATCCTAAATGGTTTTCTCAGTATTCAAATAGCCGCGGCACCTTGCTTTCCAGACTGTTTCCTTGTAGTTACAGTGTAGGTAAATGCTTAATATGGTTGTCTTATGCAAAAAATACGATCATGGTTCAGCGTTTCCTCTGCTTGGTTGATTGAGATAGGGCGCAAAATACATGGAAGTTCCATATTATGAATATGGAACGGAACCAAAAAAAAAAAAACAACCGTCCCCGGGAAGGCTCGAACTTCCAACCTCCTGATTAACAGTCAGACGCGCTAACCAATTGCGCCACGGAGACGTGTTCGTTGAAAGAGCTACAGGACTTTGACATTATAAGCAAGTTCATCTGTGGTAGAAACAGCCCCTCATATCGCGCAGCATATTATCATGCACACAATGCAACTTCCTCTGCTTAGCAAAAATGGGGAAGACTTTGAAAATCTTCTAAAATATGTGTACCTATTTATGTCCAAGCAAAAAGGTATAAAGGGAGAGGGAAAAAAATAATTAGCCTCGAGCTGTCATTGTCATTGTCTATGTGAATATATATATATCACCACGATAACTTCATCCGACAAGGCTCGAGCTTGTTCGTTCTAGCTACTAGATGCCTGGTGGGCACAGCCAACGGAGAAAAATAAACCATCGGGGAGACAATATCCTGAACCTACTATAAGAAAGGACCATCAATAGCCCCGGACTATATAACCAACCAAGCAGCCACCAGGTATACCACAGAGTTCGGAGTCACTATATGCCATATACCAACAAGCTTGTCAGTACCATGCGAAACTAGGATACATAGGTGATAATAAAAGCTAATCGGGTAAAAGGGGCTATTAAGCCACAAGGGACCCCTAGAGCTTTCGCCACAGGAGAGCAATAATAACATGCCCTTAGCGAATCTCAAATCCAACGGTACCTGCTCGAGCCAGCCAATCTACTTCCATGCCACGGTAAGTATCTTATATGCTATAGATTTAAATACTTCAATAACACCACTGGTGGTGTTTATCATCCCTACGGCGTACAATATATAGACAATCCAACATCAACAGACGTGTCCAAATCCGAACAATACATGAACTGGCATTATAGATAGTATCTACGGTCCCATATAATAAAACTACCCTATACATGCCTCGAACAATGCACAGAAATCGTGACGGAAACACTATAGACTAGCTAAGTGGTTATTCTCGTATCCACACATTAACATTAACAAAGCCATCCCTGGCTACCGGTGCCTCCGAATACCCCGAGCCAACCAAGACCTACTCGTACCAGACAATAAGCAGAGTCATACAGAAATAGTTTGTTCAGTCCATGAAACTATATTATCTGATACCACCATACCATAGCCGTAGATCACGTAGCAGTTAAGCGGCATATCTATCATCGATGCCCCCCCAGCATCGATAAGTATTTCCTCTTACATCTTAAACACGACCGAGATATAAATAGTATCTTATTTCAATGTCGAGCAAAATGAAAGGTTTGATACGGTACCCGATATAGATAACTTTAAACAGGAAGGCCATACCTAGGTATACATCTATAGATATAGTACAATAAATAAGGTTCGACTTGAGTTTAAACCAACTTCACCCTACCTTACCTACCTAACCAGACAATCTCGGGAAAAAAAAAAGAATTCACAAGACAAAAGGAAAAATAGGCCTACTTGAAATAAAAGCGTGGATATGATTAAAAGCAAAAAAGAAAGCGTCCCCGGGAAGGCTCGAACTTCCAACCTCCTGATTAACAGTCAGACGCGCTAACCAATTGCGCCACGGAGACTTAATTGTTGAAGAACGGTCGACCTTGATGTAACATAAGGCAGAGGGACTACTCAGGTCCCGATATCGTGTGACGGGTGGCAAATATTGCCCTGAACCCGACTCAGTACCCTGGCATAGGTGCAGCCCCGGAAATAATCATCTGATTGAATAATTATTCACCAATTACCTAGGTACCTAGGTAGTTACCCATGTAAATAATTAAGTGACGGGCTAGCTTCTATTCCTCCTGCGCTTGAGCCACGACACTATGATACCGCACACTCATCAACCAAACCTAGGAAAGGACATCTGGGCACGAAAAGGGAGGGGAAAAGAAAAGGAAAAAGAAAATACATGTGTCATGTCTGGAGATTGAGACGACCAGACGTAGGATCAAGAAAAAAATTCCTTACATACATCCCTGGAGATCTAGACGACCAGGCGAAGGAAGCAGAGTAGATAGTTATCAGATAGATACCTCAAGGGAAAGTCCCAAGAAAGCTCATCTCCGGCTTAGGCAAGAAATCAAGAACAGCAGTCACAAATCATGATATCACCTCCCGTGACCTCTTTGTTCCGGAAATCCTGCCCCCTAAGTATCCCCCCTAATTAGATATGATGAATCGGGTTAATTGATGGAAAAAAGCAATGCGGACATCTCGGCAGTCTCCTGCGTTGACGGGTTCTATTCACCACCGATCTCCAGTGCGTAAGAGCCAACCAGTCGCGGCCATTGAGGGTCCAGAGTGCTGTTGGGTAGCGCGAGAGTGAATAACCCGCATATTTGGCACTGGCACCTGTCGTCGAATAGCCACATCCATCAACCCGAAGCCACGAAAGGTTCCCCGGAGGAAGCGCATAATGATCGAAAACATCCTGCCAGGTACCAGACATGAGCCGAACGTGGACCAACTCAACGCGACGCAGTGTATCCCGAGCCTGTATGAAAATCTGTCTGAGGGTTTCGTCCTTGATTCTCACACCTTCGAGCCGGAAGCTTTTCAGCTTAGTGAGGCTTTCTGCTTCCAGATCGGACACGTCAAACCAGGTACGGGCATCTAGACTGAAGACCTGGATCCGTTCCGCGTAAGCGATGAGCTGGACGAGATACGGAGCAAATCGATCGAGCGGATACTTGGCCTTGATCACTGAGCGGGGCCATTTTGGTTCTCGCCTGCCATCAGGGCCGGTGCTGTCATTAATCGTGATGTGTAGCTCTTCGAGTTGGGCGAAAACATTGGTGAAGCTCCTGGCGTAACTATTCGACTCGAAGAAACGGGCAAATTCCGCGGTGGTGGGCATAGACATATGGAGACATCTCAGTCTCGGGACAGGCACCAAGCGTAAGGTATGCACAAGAGCGTTTGTCAGCTTGGCCAGCATCGGCGGCTTGAGTTGTCCTTCTTCACTGAATGTGTCCACCACGGTGGGTGTTTGCAACCGCAATGTTTGAATGTTCTGGAAACGACTGATCAGGATTGGAAGAGCTCCTGCTGCCAAGTCGTCGATGTACCGATCGTAATCCAGCCCTGGAAGCCATGCCCCCACGAAACCAAAACGCACGTCGCGCACGTAAAGGGCGTATGGGCTTTCGGAAATCCTTAGAATGCTATCAAGAGGTCGACCAGCAGAGTATCCGACGACGGCCTGGATGTATCGGAAGAAGAGAGGACTCGCAATCCGGTTCCAGATTCGGTTCACGAGTCTCAGAGTCGAAAGGGTCTTTTTGGTCGCCGGGTGTTCAAAGACATCCCCATAAGCGAAGTCATATTCCTCATACGAGTCACTAGCAAGCGTGGCAAAAAAGACCTGAGATCAAGTTAGCTGGCTGAGCACTTCTGAGCCCTATTAATTGACCCAAGGTATTACTCACATTTTCCCAAGCTTCATACGGGAGCGATGGCTCTCTTGGCAAGTAAGGAAAGTCTCCAGAGGTTTGATCAGACTGGGCGTCATCACGAGGAGTCCGCGAAGGAGAACGATTCAAGTTGTTAGATAGGCGCCTGTCCAGCGGGGAAGGTGTACTGGGAGGGGTTGGGGTGGGGGAAGAAGAAGGACTCTCGACCAAGGGAGGAGTGCAAGAAGGGGAGGCGTTACCAAACAAAGAGGTGCGAGAGGAGGGAACCTCAGTAGGAGCATCACGCGGAGCATCAGGTGGAGCCTGCTGAGCGGGCGAGCTGTTCAAGACCATTGCAGCTAGCTGCTCCGAGGGAGAGCTGTTTAAGGCCATCACAGCCAGCCGATCTGACGGCGAGTTGCTCAAGACCATCGCAGATAGCCGCGACGAGGGCGGGCTTTGGGCTTGCGATGGATCCATTGCTGTGATTGACTCCGAAAAGATCCAGGAACAGCGCAACACGTACCAGGGGGTCAACAAGGATGCCAGGATGCTTCACTGCGAGTAAACAAAAGGGTAAAGTTTTGTCTTGATGAAAGCCAGCTTGTTATGGTAGCCTGGGCCTGAGGCAAGCAGAGTGTCGTGCTGATTGCACAGGCACCGCCGTGTCTTGTGACGGATGCCATGCTTTCGGCCAATGAAAGGTGACGAAGGAATTTCCCAGGTAACGCGTAACGGCGTAACGCCGAGAAAGATATAGTGAAGCAAATCCACATCACAAGAGTATGGGAAGGACAAGGGCTGGCGTCTCATTTCTCCAATCTCGACATAGGCGCCTTTCACATACCGATACTGATCTTTCAATCTTCAAGAAACAGTGAGATAATTGAGTAGAAGGTCGAACAAATTTGGACCAGGCAACAGCAAAGCGAAATAGATCGATCGTGATATGCAGCAACTTCAAAGCGATCTTCACTGTATCAAACCCCAAGAGTGGACCAATCATGGTGGAGCGAGGAGAATTATTGACCAATCGGGGCGAACTAAAGAAAAGGAACTTCCCATGGAAGCACCCGGAGCCTCACAAACCTTGCAAGTTCCAAGGTTTTGCCATCCACACATATTTCCGATCTTTGTAGTTGTAGTACATTATGAGACAATGTACTTAGGTAGTGCTCTAGTCATATTCCAATTCTACCCCGCTCCCATTCCCGTTTATAGTACCGAGCTTGGTCTGTTCGTACAACCTACTCTTGGTAGTACGTGGTGAAACACAGAGCCATTGTGTTCGGATCTCCACTAATGAAACAATCCCCACTGACCTTCGCCACAATCAAGTCTCCGTGGCGCAATTGGTTAGCGCGTCTGACTGTTAATCAGGAGGTTGGAAGTTCGAGCCTTCCCGGGGACGCTTTCTTTTTCTTTTTACTTGGTCTATGCCATGTTATGACATTTCCACATCTTTTTACCACCCAGGTGGTTAAACACTAATAGAGCGTGGGGAGGAAGAATGGACATCTCAAAGATATCCGTCCAACAAGAGCTTTAAAAAGACATCAAAAAGAGATCAGGATATGCTAAAGTTACCTAAAAAGAGATATCTAAGAAACAATGTTGAAGAGTCTCGAATGTAAGTAATCTTATATTATCTTAACCAAAATGGATCGAATACTGACGGTGACCTACGTCATCCTGTAAGGAATGAGAGGTCGCATAAAGCCGAAAGTTATCACAGAACGCTTAATTTGTGTGTATGTCGGAGTCTACCCCCGTACAAGAAAATCATCCTAGAAACCCGTAGCCAAAGGCGTCGTAACAGGCACCGCACTGGAAGGACAAACACAAGCCGTAACCGAAGTAACGGGCGGCTCAGTACAGTGCGGACTCACCTCCCAAGGCACAGAAGAGGTAGCCGGTTCCTCGTCAACCTTCTCAGCCTTGACCAACACCGGAATAACAGCACCAGTACTCAGCTTGAAGGTCCGGTGTCCAATAACCCTCAGAATAGAGGAGATCTCACCCGAATGCGACGTAATCGAGACAAACGACTTCTTCTTGGACGAAGTAAAGAAGACATCCCCCAAAGCCTGGGCGCTCCGCACATCCTGCGCGCCACTAGATTCAGCCGTCACGCCATTCCACAGCTCATCCTCCTCGGTAAACCCATGCTCAATGGGCCAGTGCGGGAATAGGTCGTGGATGTAGCTGCGGCTACGGCGGTGGTCGCAGGTGTGGACGCTGATTCCTTCACGGAAGTGTTCCTTCACGGTCGGCTTGAAGGCCGCGCTATGTTTGGGCATGTCCAGGCCCGTGAAAGTTAGGTTGGCGGTTTTCAGAGCGCGTGTCATAGGGCTGACATAGTAGTGGTCTGGTGTGTGGATTCGCTGTTCGTTTATCTCTTTTTGCCAGAACTCGTTTGCCTTGAGCGCTTGTGAGATACCGCCAGGTGTGAGGTCGGCATCTGCCCAGCTTGCTGTGCTGTTGCCGTTGAGTTCGGACCAGTAGCACTGGATGGAGATGGTTAGATTGCACCCGAGGACATTAAGGTCGTAGGCAGCACTTACGTTCCACGCTGGTGTTCCATAGTAGCTTTCGGCAGCATTGTGCCACCCTTCCCCATGTCGACCAAGGAACAAAACCTTATATTCAACGTGCTTGGGCGAATGCTCATTTAACTTAGTAACCTGGTGGTAGAAACGCTCCCATTGGGTCAGAGACCCGTGTTTCTTGTGCTCGTTGTCTGCGGGATAAGCGCGGCCGATCAGGCCGAAATTCTCCGCTGTCTGGGCACGTTAGCGGACCGAGTACATGACCAGTTAAGGCATCGACAAAGAGATAGTTTTTGAAGCTTAACTACTTTGATTCGCCAGAATTTGCGCGTCACTCACATAGTCAAATGTAGTGGGATCAGTCGACTCCTCATCCTGTAGAAAATAGCCTGTGACCGTGGTGTAATTGATGGTCGATGCCTGCGCGACAGCTAGGCCCACAAGGGCTGAACCGAGGGTGGAGAGTCTCATTGAAAGACGGAGATACGCGGATTTCAATTCCAATGTTTCCAGAAAGAGTTTTGTTCTGTTATTTTTTTTCCTCGCTTGAGATGAGATCGACAAATATGTTCCTTTTATACTCAAATAAGAACCTTGGAAGACACTGGCGCACGTGGTAGTTAAGGTTACCGCGAGTGCCAGGGGCGCTTTTCCGCGTTCCAAGGTTCCGGACACAGTAACCTATGGTTTGGCGCACGTGTTGTATCCATTATTGTACGACGTGCGGACTACGGAGTACATACCTTTGGGGGATATCTCCGAGGACTCCTGAAAGCGAGCTAGAAAGATGTTGTACAGAGGGCCTGAACTAATAGCCAAGCCATAACCGTGTGCTGGTTGATCGTCATTTCGTTCTCGGAGGTTCATTTCGGGTAAATGCCAAAAATGTAAGAGATCACCCCCTTTTTGATTGAGAGCTATGAGATAGTATAGATACGTACGTAACAAATGTATGTATCGTGGAAAATGTCAAAAATAAGCCAAATGCTGCCAAAGCCATATGCAAACCCAAGTTTCAATCCCATCCACAAATCCCGATTCCAAATCACGGGAATAAAAAGAGGTCAAAGGTAGAAGGTAAAAAGGTCTCGAAGTTCCCGTGAGGGAGCTCGGCGGAAATTAAAAGGTCTTATCAGACACCAAAAATAACAAAAACAATCCCAGTCCAATAAACAACATGCAAGGAATGCTCCAAATATATAAAAACCCGGCGAATACACCCCAAATAAAGAGACACGAAAAAAAAGTATATAGAAGGCATAAAATGACAGTGCTCCTCCGCGCACGGAGGGTTAGGTAGACAACATCTCCCTAAGGGAAAGTGTTGGAAAACGAAGGCGAAGGCGAAAATTTTGCGTAGTGAACTCGTCCCAAAAACACCAAAAGTTGTCGCGCATTTCTCATACATCCATAGTAAGGGAAAGGCCAAGAGACCTTCCCTTAGGAAGGGTAGTTACTTGGCGTCGTGTTGTTCGCGAACGTGTAGGCTTTCGGCTTCTGCATCGATGACAAGTGATGACCACCAAAGTGGGTATCGTGCTCGGGGAATTTCGTGCATCATAAATTCAGGCCGCTTCCTCTCTGCGAGTTCGGCAGAGCCTGGTATATCGGTATCTTCGATCGAATAGATCAAAGACGGCGAGCCAGAGACCGATTCCATGCCAAAAGCTTGTCCGGTATGGTCAGTGGTCGCGTTATAGCCCATGGGCGAGACTGTGGTTGAATGCGGCACCTGAAGACCCGCCGGGTACTCAGGCGAAGATATAGAACCAGTGTCGGCCCAGCTGCGGGCTGGGATGGGAACCGAGTCACATGTGAGATATTCGGGGAAGGAAGAGACCTGAGCCGGAGCCGACATTGGCGGGGCCACGTTTTGGTAAGGGAAAGGGGAGTAAATATCCAGTGGCGTAGCGGGAGGTGATGCCATGTTAACCTGCATGGGTTGAGAGGTAGGGAAGAAGTGGGCTGTGGAGTGGGCCGACAAGCAGTAGTTGCTATCCGTGGGGGAGGCAGGCATGAAATGCTGGAGGTCTTGCGGAGTCAAGGGAGTTGGTGGAGCTAGGCTAGTGGTCGAGATCGAAGGTCGCAGCATCTTCTCGGCCTTCTTGATAGACCCGGAATCCGCGAAAGTAAAATTAAGTGGAGACCGCTGCGCAGCCGACGCTTTCCTCACGCCGGCGTACCGGGAGTTGAGGCTCTGAGTTGACTTAGATTGTCTCATCGAGTTGCCAGCGCCGGAGCTAGGCATACGAGCGGTAGGCGATAGCGAAGACATCGAGGTCGAGTTGACCAAAGGACGAGTTCCTGAGGTGCCAATGGCAGCGGGGCGAGGGCGCTTGCGGCGTGCGGCGAGGTCAAGCTCTTTGCCGGGTTCCTTCCAAGTTGCTTCTACTCGATCGACAGGTTGAGACAGCCCAGATTGGCCGGTAGTACAGATTCCGATGCCCTCCAGTGAGGAAGTCAGCGCACTGGAAGACTCACGACGTGTGACCGAGATATCTGGTGCCTGCATGGGCATCGGATACTGCATGTTGCTGTAGACAAGGTTGTCGTGTCGTGATTCCCTGTCCTCAGACCACTCTTCCGTGTGAGGGGGCAGGTGGTTCGAATACACGTCCAAGTTCTGTTGCATGGAGTGCGAAGGATTTGAAATCTCTGCCATTGATTGGTGGCAAGTGGAATATGAGGTCTGCTCTGTAGTGCTGTATCCCACATTGTCATTGTGCTCGGCGGATCCCCAGGAAGCTGGTTCTTCCTTGATACCAGACCAACCCGAAAAGGAAGAGTTTATGTTGGCAAGATTCCCATGGTCGTTAGCTGGAGTGACCGCTTTTGGTGGTGGCATTGAGCCAGGGGACACTGCCTCTTCTTCTTCGTCCTCTTCGGGAACAGACTCGTTCTTGCTCCGCGGGTTGATCCGGCGACCGAATCGATCCCGCGCAGCACAAGCAGCATTCAGCGCCCTCTGTAGAGACGCAAAAGTTGCTTCTCTTGCCGACTCGCTCTTTGTTTTGTGGTGCTTGGGACGGCTGGATGTGGAATCTGTCTTGGCATGGCCACTGGATGTAGAGGTAGGTGTTTGCTTAGGAGTGGCAGATTTCTCCGATTCCTCATTTGCGATTGATCCCTTTCGAGATCCAGACAGTTGATCCAAGGTCTCTGATTTTCGGCGAGCAGCCTCCTCAGCCTCGGCCTTGGCCTTCGTCATCTTTTCAAATTCCTCCTGGCGTTTCTGTTGCTTGGCCTTGGCGCGACGATTCTGAAACCAATTCTGTTCATTCAGTTAGCTCCCTGCGTAAACAAGAAGGTTCCGTCTAGTTCTACTTACTGCAACGCGAGGCAGACTCAAATTTGTCTGAGCCGCCAATTGACGCTTAACGTTGCTGCTTGGTTTCGGATGAGCCTGGAATTGAGCCTCCAGGGTTTCAACTTGTTCCTTGGTCAACCGTGGTCTCGACAAATTCTCTGTGTATTCGTCGTAGTCCATAATCGGTTGGTGGTAGTAGTCGATCATCTCCATTGGCGGGTGAGGGTACATATAGCCGTCAATAGGGTGCATCATCGGAGGAGGGACCATGGACGGGTCATATGCCATGTGTTGGTCCATTGGGATGCCCTGGTGACCGTGGTAGTTCCATGAGGGGTGAATATAGCTCATGGCGGCCTGAACAAGGGAGTAGGCAGGTATAGGAGAGAGGAAGTTGTAGAAGCGCGAGAGATAGAGAGAGACGGGGATGGAAATGCTGCACAAGAAAGTGGCAGCTTCGAGGAATGAGGTCTATATCATGAAGTAGATTCGGTTCGGTCAACCTATGGCAATGGAGACAGGGACCTTGATTGTAAATGTAAAGAGTGGCAGTACGGGCAGTCCGTGATTCAAGAAAAAGAAATGAGGCAGTGGTAGCTTGTGATAATGGTTGACGTTAAGGAGAGACTGGGAGTTAGGGACCCAAAAGAGTGTGCATGGAAAAAGAAACCAAAAAAAAAAAAGAAAAAAAGCAAAGAGCCCAAGGAACGTAAAGGAAAGACTGGTGTGGGAAGGAAAAGGATGAAGAGAAAGGAAGATGGAGTTTGGAGGCGCTGGGGGGAAGATCGGGGGTGACGGCTAGTAAAGCGCGGTATAGAACTGCCGAACAGTGTGGTATAATTGGGTGGTGGGTGGGTATTGTTCAGTAACGGGTGGTAATCAGACGAAACGATCTTGCGAAGGTCTGTGCCTATACTGGGTACATGAGACTTATGTACTATGAGTACCGGGATTGTGGGTACCTCTCCTCCGTACTTCGATCAAGTATTGTGTATATAAAAATATAAAATATATTAAATATTAAAATACATAAAAATAACCCAGAATTGCAATTGGGAAAAGTAATTCAGATCTGGGATTGTCTCTTTCTCCCCATCTAACAATCCAATGATGCAAAGAACCCACACCAATTGAAGGCTGAGTTACCCACCGTATTTCATCCTTTTTTAGCCCGTGGAGTCGCGCTACCACCCGCTCGGTAGGGGGTGGCGGCCTGACTCTTGCAGCAGAGTCACATTTTGATTTGATTTTAATATTCTTTATTTTATTCTTATTCTTTACGTATCCTTTACCATCGATTTTTTTTAAATTGATTTTTTCCAGAATAGAGTTGGCCCAGAACATAATTCCGACCCCGTCCAGACACCCCTCGTGAACACATTCCACCATGGACGTGTGACTGAAAAGAAAAAGGAAAAATAGAATAGTAGCCTCCATGAAACCCTATCCGACCGATTCAAATCTCTGATGGATAATCATGGCGAATGCCGGTCAATATCTGTGCATACTTGCTATAATAGCAGCACTAAAGATACATGTAATGTACTTCGTACTTCGTATACAATATAGTAAGCTTCGGAGTAAACAAAGGTGATCCAGGGTTCAAGTGCGGAGAGCCGAGTTTGGGTCGGATGCCTCCCGCGGTAATTTACTGTATGTACGAAGTGATACAACCAATATAATGTCTCTTCAGGGCTTGAGCACCACCCACCTGGTAACCCGTGAATTCCACATACCAAAATAACGCAAACGCAAAAAATCCCAGTTCCTGCATTAGCGTCATGTCTGATCCCAGTAGGTGCCCATCGCTGCAAAGAAAATCATGTCCACTATAGAAGAATTTAATTTGGGAAGAAACATCAGTGGATCTGCTAGGAAGTACCTAATTTATGTGCGATGTTGTATGCTGTACTGGGTACTGTGTATGTTTGTAGCTGAAGAAGTTATACATAAGACGTTATCAAGTTGTAGATATCGGGGAGTACTCCGTACGGTGATCGGACTTGCATAATCAATCTGCTTTAGGTAGTCACATTCCCTCCCTAAACATCCCGGTCGAGTCTTCCTAAGTGTTCCCTCGTACCGGGGTGACTGGAGACCGGTGCTCCGGGTCAGACGATCGGGCGCAGCCCGGTACGGAGTATAATAATACAGTTGTATGATT